CCACAAAAAAACAAAACAAAACAAAAAAAGAAGCTCTTTGAATGAGTTTAATGTAGTTCACCTGGTACCAGCATTTAGAAAACACTGGTCTATTGTAAGGCATACCTACAGCCATGATTTTTCCTTGTGATCAAACAATTTCCTGACCTTGTGATCCACCTGTCTCGGCCTCCCAAAGCGCTAGGATTACATGAGCCACGACACCTGGCTGAAAAGGAAACACTTTTACACTGCTGGTGGGAAGGTAAACTAGTATAACCACTGTGAAAAACAGTACAGAGATTCCTTAAAGAACTAGAAGTAGAACTACCATTTGATTCAGCAACCCAATTACTACTGGGTATGTACCCAGAAGAAAATAAGGCACTTTATGAAAAAGACACTTGCACGCACTTGTTTATAGCAACACAATTCACAATTGTAAAATCATGGAACCAGCTTAAATGTCCATACACCAATGAGCGGATTAAGAAAATGTGGTATATATACACTATGATATACTACTCAGTCATAAAAAGGAATGAAATAATGGCATTTGCAATATCCTGGATGGATTTGGAGATCATTATTCTAGGTGAAATATCTCAGGAATGAAAAACTAATTATCGTTATGTTCTCACTTATAAGTGAGAGCTAAGCTATGAGGATGCCAAGGCATAAGAATAATGGATTTTGGGGACTTGGGGGGAAAGGTGGGAAGGGGTGAGAGATAACAGACTACATATTGGGTATAGTGTGCACTGCCTGGGTGAAGTGTGCACCAAAATCTCAGAAATTATCACTAAAGAACTTAGCCAGGTAACAACAACAACAACAACAAAAAAAACCACCTGTTCCCCCAAAACTATTTAAATAAAAAAAATTTTTTTTTTAATTAAGCTGGATGCAATGGCTCACGCCTATAATCCCAGCACTTTGGGAGGCCGAGGTGGGTGGATCACTAGGTCAAGAGATCGAGACCATCCCGGTCAACATGGTGAAACCCCGTCTTTACTAAAAATACAAATCTTAGCTGGGCATGGTGGCACAGCCTGTAGTCCCAGCTACTTGGGAGGCTGAGGCAGGAGAATTGCTTTAACCCAGGAGGCTGAGGTTGCGGTGAGCCGAGATTGCGCCATTGCATTCCAGCCTGGGTAATAAGAATGAAACTCCGTCTCAAAAAAAAAAAAAAAATTTAAAAACCTCTTTGCTCCATTATTATTAATTACTATTATTTTGAGACAGGGTCTCACTCCTGTTGCCCAGGCTGGAATGCACTGGCACTGTCACGGCTCACTGCACCCTCTGTCTCCCAGGCTCAAATGGTATTCCCTCTTCAGCCTCTTTAGTAGCTGGGACTACACGCATGTGCCAACCATGCCCAGCTAACTTTTGTATTTTTTGTGGAGATGGGGTTTTGCCATGTTACTCAGGCTGGTCTCAAACTCCTGGGCTCAAGTGGTCTGTCCAACTCAGCCTCCCAAAGTGCTGGGATTACAGGTGTGAGCCACCATGCCCAGCTTTTATACCTTATTAAGTTACTGGAGAGTTTAGTCCCTAAAGTTTTTCTACTGACACCACACTGATTTTTTTCATGTCCCCATCTTTTCCTCCAACTCACTCCGAACATGAAAGGGCAAGTACTGAGGGTCCTGCGGCCAGTAGGACCCCAGCCAGACGTGCAAACATAAGTGACATTTGAGTGAAAATGTAGTAATAGAAGTCTGTATGAGGAACAGAGCTTGCTTACACAGAAGTGAGAAGCGGGTGTGTGTGTGCATCGGCTCTCCTAAGTTCTCTGAAGATTGCTTCCAACTCTGTTCTGATTATCTTCAGAGCCTGGAGTTGGGACCTTCTGCAAATGCTGCTGTATATTTTATGGTCAGTTGTGTAGAAAGAGAATGCACTTACAAGTCAAAACAGACCTGGATTAGTGTCCTGGCTTCTCTGCCTACCAATGTATTTGTTAACCTTGGGCATATTTTTAACTTTTTAAGATTAAGTCTTACAGATTTCTGTAATTTATAATTAGGTCCCCTTTCTCTGCCATAATTAAATTTATCTCATCACTGAATCATTTTCAGTAACAAATAAACATACTCCAATATGTCTTATCTGGAAACAAGGCAACCCTCCCAAATTCCCACAACCTTTTTAAATTTTGTCTCTTAAATATTGCAAATAATTTTTTTTAAAACTTAAAAACCTGTTGACATGGTATCCCCCTATAGCTATCTCGTAGTTTCCCTTTCCCTTTTCTCAGGAGCACTTTGATAAGTTGTCCATAGTTTTGGCCTGACTTTCCCCTCCACTCCTCCAATTCTAATCTCTTCCTCTCATTCCACCAGGACTGTCCTTGTCTCTGTCATCCAGTGACCTTCATGTTGCCAAATCTAAGGCCACTTCTTTGTTTTTGTTTTGTTTTGTTTTGAGACAGATTCTGACTCTGTTGCCCAGGCTGGAGTACAGTGGCATGATCAGAGCTCACTGCATCCTCAGCCTCCCTGGCCCAAGTGATCCTCCTGTCTTAGCCTCCTCGGTAGCTGGGACTACAGTCTCATGCCACCATGACCAACTAATTTTTGTATTTTTTGTAGAGATAGGATTTCACCTTGTTGCCCAAGCTAGTCTCAGACTGCTGGTCTCAAGGAATCTGCCTGCCTCAACCTCCCAAAATGCTGGGATTACAGGCGTGAGCTACCATGCCCAGCCCACTTATTCTCTTAGCATCATTTGACAAGACTGATAACCGTTTTCCTTGAAATACTACTCCTTTTTGTTTTGAGATAAAGTCTTGCTCTGTCACCAGGTGCCAGGCTAGAGTGCAGTGGCACGATCTTGGCTCACTGCAACCACCTTCTAGGTTCAAGCAATTCTCCTGCCTCAGCCTCCCGGGTAGCTGGGATTACAGATGCATGCCACCACGCTCAGCTAATTTTTTTTGTATTTTTAGTAGAGACAGGGTTTCACCATGTTGGCCAGGATGGTCTTGATCTCTTGACCTCATGATCTGCCCGCCTCGGCCTCCCAAAGTGCTGGGATTACAGGCTTGAGCCACCGCGCCCGGCCGACACTCTGTTCTTGATTCTCTTCCTACCTCTCTGGGCTTTCTTTAGTCACCTTCTTCCCTCCATCTCTAAATGGTGATATGCCCAGGTTCTGAAATGACTCTCTTCTCTATTGATTCACTCTCCGTAAATATCCACTTATAATTCAGTGTCTTTAAATAACATCAATTTGCTAGTGACCCTCACGTTTGTATCTTTAGCCTCAGACTTCTCTCTCTGGAACTTCAGATTCATGTCCACATAGATGTCTTAGAGTCATTCAAATTTAACATGGCCAAAAGAGGACTCTTGATTCAACTCCACTCCAGTCTAGCTGTTTTCCCAATCTTCCCAGCTTCACAAAGTGGTGCCATTATCCCCCCTTGTGCTCAAGTCAAATATCCAGGTATTGCTTTTGATTTCTTTCTTTCTTTCCCATTCTCTTCCAATCCTTTAGCAAGTTCTATCTTCTCTATCTTCAGAAATGCTCCCAAATTTATATCCTTCTCTCCATCTCCACTACCAGCACCCTGGTCCAAGCCATATGATCTCTCACCTAGACTGTTTGCAGTAGCCTCCTAACTAGTCAGCTTGTTTCTGCTGCTGTCCACACCATAATAGCCTCCATTATAAAGACTAAAAAAAATTGTTAAATGTTAATTGGTTTGTGTCACATTTCTTAAAAGCCTCCAGGTGACCCTACATTGCACTCAGAATGAAATCCCAACTCCTTGCCCTGACTTTCCAAGGACTATGTGACCTGTCCCACAGCAGTCTCTCAGTTCTCTTCTTGTTGACCATGTACTTAGTCTCAGTGTCCCTTCTTTCAGTTCCTTAAATATGCCAAGCTCATTGTCGCTATCGGGCCCCTATACTAGCCGAACTTATGCCTGAAATGCATTTCTTCCATTCTTCTTGTGCTTGACTCACCCCTCCCTCCCTCCCTCCCTTCCTTCCTTCCTCTTCCTTCCTTCCTTCCCTCCCTCCTTCCTTCCTTCCTTCCTTCCTCCCTTCCTCACTTCCTCCCTCCCTTCCTCTCCCTTTCCCTCCCCTCTCCTCCCCTCCCCTCCCCTCCCCTCCCCTCCCCTCCCTACTTTCCTTCCTTCCTCTCTCCCCACTTTCTTTCCTTTCAAGAGGAAACATGTCTTGCTTTGTTGCCTTGGTTGATGTGCACTAGCACCATCAAAGCTCACTGCAGTCTTGACCTCCTGGGTACAAGGGATCCTTCTGCCTCACCTTCCTGAGTAGTTAGGACTACAGCTATGTGCCAGCACATCCAGCTAATTTCTTTATTTTTGGTAGAGATGAGGTCTCACTGTGTTGGCCAGTCTGGTCTTGAACTCCTGGGCTCAAGTGATCCTCCTGCCTCAGCCTCCCAAAGTGCTGGGATTAAAGGTGTGAGCCACTGAGCCTGATTTGTCTCTTTCTTATTCAATTCTCAATTTATTTATTTATTTATTTATTTAGAGACGGAGTTTCGCTCTTGTTACCCAGGTTGGAGTGCAATGGCGCCACCTCGGCTCACCGCAACCTCCGCTTCCCGGGTTCAGGCAATTCTCCTGCCTCAGCCTCCTGAGTAGCTGGGATTACAGGCACGCGCCAGCATGCCCAGCTAATTTTTTGTATTTTTAGTAGAGACGGGGTTTCACCATGTTGACCAGGATGGTTTCAATCTCTTGACCTCGTGATCCACCCACCTCGGCCTCCCAAAGTGCTGGGATTAGAGGCGTGAGCCACCGCGTCCGGCCAATTGTCATTTTAAATATATCCATTTCAGAGATGACTTCTGTGACAGCTATCCAATCTTTTCCTCCTATTTTAATTATCTAGGACCTATCACTGTCTGATACTTTTCTTGTTTATTTAAGTATACAGTCATTTTCCCATTCATTCATTCATTGCTCTGTGTTTATGCCGTATGAGAGAGGGACCATTTATGCTTGCTCATCATGGTATCCCCTGCTTCTGGATATGTGACTTGCACATAGTAGATGCTTAGTACATATTTATGAAGTGACTGAATGTTTTTCTTACCTGTAAAATGGAGAGACCAATACTTATGTCTCAGAGTTGTTGAGGACTAGCAATATCTGATTTGATAATGTTGGTAAAGTGGATAAGTCTGTGTTTAGCACATTGTGTTTATAGAAACTGTATTTCTCGGTAAATATTTGGCTTGCTGTAGACATTCAACAAAGGCTAGTTCTCTTTCTTTCTTGCAGTCTGGATCTCCTGCACCATTTCATATTTAATTGACCTGCATCCCAAAGTGTGCACTCCCCCAACACACACAGAGACACTGCGTTGTAACAATGTTTAACTTTCTCTTGGGAAATTACAGTTTTCTTCTCTTTGGTTATATGATCTTTGCCAATTAACTCTCCTTAAGAGCAAAGTGTTTTGGGGTTTGATTTCCTCATCCTAGTGTTTAGTTTCTCTGAAAAGCACTCTCAGCTTTTGTGTATACTGATCAGTTTTTATTTTGCATTTATTTAATATTTAGTCGACTGAAATGTCAGGCAATGCGAATACAGATAGGAATTCGTAGAAGCCTCTGTTCTTAAGTGGAGGAAACAGGATACATAAACCAACAAGAATAATAAAGTATCTGGCCAAGCATGTGGCTCACACCTCTAATCCCAGCACTTTGGGAGGCTGAGGCAGGCGGATTACTTGAGGTCAGGAGTTTGAGACCAGCCTGGCCAACATGGCGAAACTCCTGTCTTTACTAAAAATGCAAAAATTAGCTAGGTGTGGTAGCATATGCCTGTAATCCCAGCTACTAGGAAGGCTGAGGCGGGAGAATTTCTTGAACCCAAGGGCAGAGGTTGCAGTGAGCCAAGGTCACAACACTGCACTCCAGCCTGGGCAACAGAGCAAGACTCTGTCGCCAAAAAAAAAAAAAAAAATTTTTTTTTAAATTTCTATGGAAAAAGTCTGCAGAACATAGAGGAGACACAAAGTAGGGAGTAACTAATTCACATGGAGGATGAGGGTACAGTTTGAGAGATAGGTGGTTGTTTACCACCCAACAGAGAGATAAGCCCTGTGAGTCGAGACCTTTCTAGGGGCCCATGCTCTGGGAACTTGGAAGGGCTGCGTGATCATAGTGTAGTGATAGTACTAACAGAGATCATGAGAAGCAAAGCCTGAAAGATGCGAGGTGCTGGGCCATGGAGGGCTCTGCCTGCCCTGCTGGGGAATTTGAACTTGCGCCAGCAATACCAATAACAGTAGCAGCACCTAACATTTATTGAGCACTTCCTATATGCCAGGCCCTCTTCTTTGTACTTCATTGTATTAATTCCTTTAATCTGTACAACAGTTCTATGAGGTAAGTACTATTGTTATCCCTATTTATAAATAAATAAACATAGGATACGTATTGAATTTGTTCTTAAAAATAATAATAAATAAATAAGTGTAGGCACCACGAGGACAAGGAACTGGTCCAGGGTCACCCAACTTATGAAGAGCAGAGACAGGATTTAGACTCAGGCAGCGTGGCCCCAAAGTTTGTCCTCTTAACCAGGATACTGTACTACTTCTTACGGACAGCTTTTGGGGGATAGCCAGAGCCCTGGAAGAGTTTTAAGTATGGAAATGATATGATTAGATCAGTTATTTGGAAAGGCTGTAGTGGAGTTGCATTTCATCTTATACAAGGGTTCATTTCTAAAAGCATTGAAAGCAAAAAATGCCAAGTTCCATTTCTCCTTGCCTCTGAGTAAGGTTTGTTCTGCTAGTGGTGGCATACCATATCTCAGACAGCCCAACACGGCAGCTTTTTCCTCTATCCTTAGAACAGAGGGCAGAGTCTTTGGAAGACATGTGTATAATAGATGAATCATCAGTTTGTGTTGAGGGACCCTGTTGTTTGAAAAGCACAAAAGCATCACACTCCTGCAGAAACTGAGCCCCTCAGTGGTGACAACAGACTTAACCTCCCCTCATTTAGTGCATGGCCAAGCCTGTGCATTGCTTAGATAGTGTTTTTCCCTGCCCGTTTTTCTCTCTAACAAGAGTCCTTAGTGATATGGATGCCTGTTAGGCCTGTGATGGTCTGCGTCACATTTGGCAGCAGAGTGCAAGAGGGACAGCGTGCAAGTGAGGAGGTGGGAAGAAGGCAGGGAAAATAAGCAGAACACAGCAGCTGCTGCCCAGGTACCAGAGTCTGCTTTAAAGAAGTGTTGATGCGATTACAATGATCAAAACCAAACCAGCCGGTACATGGAGGAAGAAACTAGGAGAAACACATCAAATTGCTGACAGTGATTGTGTTTTCTCTTTTCTGTGACAAATGCAGCTTTGTGCATTCTTTTTATTTTACAGCCTATTGTCAACGTTATTTCATTTTTCTACAGAGTTTTCATAATTGGCATTTCTAATGACCGCCTTGCATTCCATGGTGTTGATGTTCTATACAGGGCAGGAGGCCAGATATGAGAGATATAAAGAAAGTTAAGTATTCTGGACCTAATGACCAATTAAAGTAGTTTCCTTCAACTTTCTTCTGATCTGAAAACTTTGTACATCATTGTATCTTTTTGTTTCCAGTCTGGTAAATGCCCTTCTAATTCCAACTACATTATACACACTGCAGCTTTAATACATAATACTCTCCATGTCTTGGCTTATGGCTACTGAAATAGGCCTAAGAGTCATCTGCAGGTGTTAGGAACCTTGATTGGTCCATCTGTTTTGTCGTAGTGGTACAATATTCTTTTTTTTACTTACAAACTGACAATACATGAGGTCTCTTGATAGCCACCGCTGTGTTACAGTACATGATTTACATTAAGTTCTCTGGTTTTGGCAGGGCACAGTGGCTCAAGCCTGTAATCCCAGCACTTTGGGAGGCTGAGGTGGGTGGATCACGAGGTCAAGAGATCGAGACCATCCTGGTCAACATGGTGAAACCCCGTCTCTACTAAAGATACAAAAAATTAGCTGGGCAAGGTGGCGCATGCCTGTAATCCCAGCTACTCAGGAGGCTGAGGCAAAAGAATTGCCTGAACCCAGGAGGCGGAGGTTGCGGTGAGCCGAGATCACGCCATTGCACTCCAGCCTGGGTAACAAGAGCGAAACTCCGTCTCAAAAAAAAAAAAAAAAAGTTCTCTGGTTTCTCAGATTGAAATCATTTTGTAACTTCTTTAAAGAAGTGTTGATGTGATTACAACAATGGTCAAAACAAAACAAAACCAGCCAGTACATAGGAAAAAGAAACTAGGAGAAGCACATAAAAATGCTGACAGTGATTGTGTTCATATTGGCAATTTTATTTTTCTCTTTTCTGTGTTTCCAGAGATTTGAAAATATGTCTATAATACATGCAAAATGTTAACAACTTTTTTTAAAAAAAGAACAAACTTCAAAAATAAGAGCTCTCTGTAATCTCCTAATTCTAGCACAACATAATTTTGCTTTTGAAATGCCCTTGTTCGTATACATGCATATTTTTCATAGCTGTAGTCCTGACAAATGCAGCTTTGTGTGTTCTTTTCATTTTATAGCCTATTGTCAACATTATTTCATTTTTCTAATAGCTTTCATAATTGGCATTTCTAATGGCTGCCTTGCATTCCTTGGTGTTGATGTTCTGTACAGGACTGTCCTGTGGACATTTGGATTGTTTCCAGTTCTTTACTCATTTAGATAAGGGGTAATGAGTATTTTTGTTCATTTGGCATTTGGGGTTCATTCAGTCATTTCCTTAAAGTGAAGTCTCAGCAGTGAGCTAACTGAATGAATGGTTTGAACTCTTGTGTGGCTTTTGGTATGTGCCAAGTAAGACCCTGCTTTCTGGAAGAGCCCATTGAATGTGGATGGTCACTGGCTTCATATGTGTGTTCCTGTCCCATGTTTCCCTCCTCACTATTGAGTCCCTAAGATATTTTAATAACATACCTTGTAATCAAGTCGTGTTTATTGAAGAAAGTTTAGAAAAGATGTAAATGTGAAAAACAGGAAATAAGCTATTCATAATCTCACCACCCAGAGGTAACAATTTTAAGAATACATTTCCTTTTAAGTATTTATTTACTTATTTTTGTTTTGTTTTTTAGAGACAGGATTTCACTCTGTCACCCAGGTTGGAATGCCTTACATCTGGGCTCAAACAGTCTTCCCACATCAGCCTTCTGAGTAGCTAGGAGTACAGGCACATGACACTATACCTGGCTAATTTTTAAATTTCTCGTAGAGGTTGGCTCTTGCTATATTGCCTAGGCTGGTCTCAAACTCCTGGCCTCAAGTGATCCTTCCTTAATTAGGCCTCACGGACAGAGAGATTCAAGCTATTCCTGGGAAATAGAATCCAGTGAAGTGATGCGCTCCACTCGGATTGGATCAGGCTCTTTTGGGACTGTTTATAAGGGCAAATGGCACAGAGATGTTGCGGTAAAGATCCTAAAGGTTGTCGACTCAACCCCAGAGCAGTTCCAGGCCTTCAGGAATGAGGTGGCTGTTTTCCACAAAACACAGCATGTGAACATTCTGCTTTTCATGGGGTACATGACAAAGGACAACCTGGCAATTGTGACCCAGTGGTGTGAGGGCAGCAGCCTCTACAAACACCTGCATGTCCAGGAGACCAAGTTTCAGATGTTCCAGCTAATTGACATTGCCCGGCAGACGGCTCAGGGAATGGACTATTTGCATGCAAAGAACATCATCCACAGAGACATGAAATCCAACAATGTATTTCTCCATGAAGGCCTAACAGTGAAAATTGGAGATTTTGGTTTGGCAACAGTAAAGTCACACTGGAGTGGTTCTCAGCAGGTTGAACAACCTACTGGCTCTGTTCTGTGGATGGCTCCAGAGGTGATCCGAATGCAGGATGACAACCCGTTCAGCTTCCAGTCAGATATCTACTCCTATGGCATCGTATTATCTGAGCTGATGACAGGGGAGCTTCCTTACTCTCACATTAACAACCGAGATCAGATCATCTTCATGGTGGGCGGAGGGTATGCCTCCCCAGATCTTAGTAAGCTATATAAGAACTGCCCTCCCAAAGCATTGAGATAACAGGCACAAGCCACCACACCTAGTCCAAGTATGTATGTCATAATGTTGTATCATGTGGCTTCTCTATTAGCCCTTCTCTATTGTTGTTGTATAGAAGCTTTACTTCCTCTCTCCATCTTGGGGGTCATCTTGGCCAGGTATGGTGGCTTGCACTAATCCCAGCACTTTGAAAGTCCAAGGCAGGAGGCTCACTTGAGGGCAGGAGTTCAAGACCAGCCTGGACAATGTAGTGAGACCATGTCTCTACAAAAAGTAACAATCAGTAAATAAATAAATCTTTGTGCACGTTTAGGAAGCATTCTGTTGGAAAATTCCCAGAAGCAGAATTTAATTTTTCTCTTTTCGGGTTGAAGAGACAACCCGAACCTTGTGAAGGCTTTTGATGAGTACTGAAAAGTTGCTGCTGAGGATAGTTGTGCCTCTTTCTACTTCACCTGTTAATGTTTGGATCCCATTCCTGCTTTCACTAGGTTAACACTAGTGGCCATTTATTTATCTGTTTATCCTGAAATCAGTTTGGAACTCTGTGGTCTTTTGCTTTTTGTTTTTTGTGAGGGGGTTCCTGGGCATGTGGATTAAAATCCCAGAATTTGTATTTTCTTTAGGATTTCCCTCAGGTTCCACCTATTGGTAAATTTTACACACCCACGTCTTCCACCCAGCCTTCAAACTGTACCCTGAAGCATGGTTACAGAATTCTTGATTTCATAGACATTTTGAAATCTAGAACTCTTTGAAAAAGACTACTTATTTTGGCTTAAAAAATTCCAAATTCTGGCCAGGCATGATGGCTCATGCCTATAATCTCAGCAATTTGGGAGGCCGAGGTGGGCAAATCACCTGAGGTTAGGAGTTTGAGACCAGCCTGGCCAACATGGCGAAACCCAGTCTCTACTAAAAATACAAAAAGTAGCTAGGTATGGTGGTGGGTGCCTGCAATCCCAGCTACTTGGGTGGCTGAGACCGGAGAATCGGTTGAACCCAGGAGGCGGAGGTTGCAATGAGCTGGGATCTTGCCATTGCGCTCCAGCCTGGGTGATGAGAAATTCTATCTCAAAAATAAAATTAAATTAAATTAAATTCCTGATTCTTGGCCATTTTCTTAATAAATACTTGTTGAATCCAAGTTTAAAGAACTCAGAGTTAATTGTATGTGACAAAAGTCTAAGGTATATGGGAATTGGAGAGAAGTGACTTTGGGCCAGATTATAAAGAGCCTTGTTCCACCAACTAAGGATTTTAACTGCATCCTAAAGGCTGATAATTAGCTGGCACTTTTGGGAAAACATTTGGTAGACTGGCCACAGAGAACCTGGTTAGAAGGCCATAGTAGGCTGGGTGGGGGAGAGCTGTCAAGGCCCTGAGTCATGTTGGTGCAGTAGGTACAAGGGTTAAGTAGGGGCCTATTCAAGCAGGTCTTGGTGACAGACAGCTTATGGTATGCTGTGTGTGCATGTGTGTGTCCCTGTCCTGTTGAGGGAAAATTTGTACCATATCTTCTACATAGGAATTTGCCTTGATACAGATAAGATAATGCACTGTAAACAGCAAACTAAAAGTGCTCTATAGATGTGAAAACATATTGACAGTAACAGTGCCTAAGAAATTCTGCCCCATGGGGCTCATTCAAGGATGTGATAATGGCCTGGTGTGTGTAAAGCACCTGGGCTCTAGACAAGTAGTAGTTCTTCTGGTTGACTAAGGACCTGTCACAAACTTGGGAGACAAATTTGGGAGAGTTCTTTTTTTGTCCTCATCTGTTCGGGTCGCTGAGCATGGGGCACTTGCTTCCCTCTCACTTTTTCTCCTGCTTCCAATGAGGAGGGAATCTGAACAGCTGAGGAGGGGTCCAGCCTGGTGTGGCGTCTTCCAATAGGGAGAAGACGTCTCTGTTCTTGGTAGGACTCTGATCTGGAGAGAACCATCATGGGAAAGACTTGAGCCCAGTTCTGAGCTGTGGCCCTGACCTCTGGCTGCTTGGCCAGGCTGCATTGTTTGTTGTTCAGTCCGGGGAAGGAGACTGAAGAAGCCGATAAGAAAGTTCTTCCGGTCCAGCCAAGCAGGCGCAGGGAAGCTTCTGCAGAGCAAAGATTAGACACGGTCCCTGATTTAGAGAATACAACGGGAGGGCAGTGGGGCAAAGCCCAGAGCTCTTTGCAGTGGTATTGTTTATTGTTGGAGGAGGACAACAGAGGGAGCCCTGTCAGCTTGTGCAACAGAGGGAAGACAGAAACAGCAAGCTGGGTCTGCGAGGGCCTTTTTAAGGGCAGTTTCACAAACATGTTTTGCAGACAGAGGTTCTCCAACTTGCAAAGGCGTTGATGAGTGGGAAGGGTATCCTTTTCCTTCCCCCAGGAAACAAAGCGCTAGTATTTCTAGGTACATCTGAGGCTCTTTGTCAAGCACCTGCTCCCAGGTGCTGTGGTACAAAACAAATTAGCCCTGGGGAGTTAACTGAGTGGGTATCAAGCGGTGGCCACTTCCCTTCTCCTCTCACTTATCTGGAATACCAAATCTGTGCTTAGTGCAGGGATGCTCCCCATGGCCAGCCTTCTCACTATGGCAGAAAGAGCACCAGAAGGTAATTTAGGTGTTTGCTTGGGTTAAATGCTGACGAAATGCTGCTTTGTGGAATTATGCTCATCTTTATTACATGTTTGGAATCCCAAATCTGTTTTGTATTTTTAGAAATTAGGAAAATATCAAACATAATATGCAAAGAATAAGAAAATATTTGATTGTCTTGATTTTTGAAAATAGTATTGTAGAGGTCTCAGGCTTGCTTTATTTTTCATTTTTATTTTTACTTTTTGCATATCTTAAAAAGTATTCTAAGAGGTGCTTCTGAGCTCCTTCCTCCTAACTCCACTCCTAATCCATGGCATGTGTTGATGCCAGCCACCCCTGACAGTTATGTCTGTGGCCTTACCCAGTAGGGATTGATATTTGCAGATCTTATCTGTCCTGGCAGCAGCTCTGATTTGGAGTCAGGGGACCTGTGTTTGCTCTTTTGGCCCTGTTGCTCTGGCCTGAGGCAAGTCACTGTCTTGGTTTCAAATCTCATCTCTGTAAAATGGGGAGAAAAAGATGAGCTCCTTCAGGTTTCTCAGAAAGGTTCGGTGTCAGAATGCAGTGAGGGTAATTTCTAAGCTGTGTGAATGTGAATTTTTGTTTTTATTCATGACATAAGCAAGCTATTGTTTGAGCCATTGGCTTTGGCTGCCATACTGTGGATACTTGGTTTTGAGGTAAGTTAGTCTGAAAGAATGAATCCTCCTTGTAGAAACTCACTATGCTGAAACATGGTTTAGAGAAAGCAATGTTACACACAATGAACTGGAAAAGCAACTTCAAAGTCTGGGTGGGACATTCCTTCCTGGGGTCCCTGATGCATGAAGGGGTGCAGCTGGGCAGACAAACAAAAAGATTGAAACGATACCCTAAATAGATTTTTTTTTTTAGGCAGGGCCTCTCTCCCTGTTTTGGAAAAACTGTCTTTCTTTTAAAGCACTACTATAGACTAAATAAAAGGGCAGAATGTAATTTAAGAGTTGCAGGTTATCTTCTTTCCTAGAAAGAGCTAAATATTATAGTCTCCCCAGGGGCAACTATTGTTGCCAGTTTCTTTTGTATTGTTACACAAATATCTTGTGCATATACAGATACAGAATCATGTGCTCCTATCCTTTCTTCATAATACAAACACAGCATTCTTTGCCTTGCATCTTTCACTTAATACATCTTTCAGATATCCATAGCAGGCTGTGTGGTGGTCCATTGCTGTATGGTTACTTAATCTGTATAACAGTTTTCCTGCTGATGGATTTTTAGGTTGTTCTTGTAATTGCTATCCCAAATACTGTTGTAACAAATATCCTACTACGTGTCCTCTGTACACAGGTGTGAGTATAAATGTGATAGATTCCTTGAAGTGCGATTGCTGGGTCAGAGGGTTTGTAGTAGCACTTTTAGCTTTAAATCAGTAATGCTCTCCATAGAGTTTGCATTGATTTACCTCCCACCAGTAGTTTACAAGTCCCCCATTTCTCCACACTGTCACCAGTACAGAATGAACTTGGCCAATCTGAGATGAAAAATGGCCTCATTATAACTATATTAGTTAAAATTATAATTTATAATTATAAATGTATTACAGTTTGAATTAACTCTTATGAGTAAGCTAAGGTTGATCAGTTTTAAAAAAAGTAAGTGCTATTTTTATTCCTTTCTTGTGAATTATCTGTTCATCCTTAGCCTATTTTTTCTAGTGGGTTATTGAGTATTTCTTATTCATTTTGTGGGGTCTTTTTATGTATATAATCAATTAGAACTTAATATATATTGCAGACATTTAGTCAATTCTTCATTTTTGTCATTTTGCCATACAGAATTTTTGAAACATTTAGTCAAATTTGTCAGTCTTTTTATTTTATAGCCTTGATTTTGAGTAATTCTTAGAAAGCCTTCTTTACTTTAAGATTATATATGTATATATATATATATATATGTGTATGTATGTATAAAATACATACATACACATATATATATATATATAATGTTTTCTTCTAGTGCTTTTATGCCTTCATTTTTTTTTTTTTAGCTCTAAACTTTGAAATCATCCAGAATTTATTTTAATATAAGGAGTGAGACAGAACTCCAACTTCTTTTTTTTTTTCAGGAAGACCTGGGTTTTGAATCCAGGTACTTTTACTCATTAGCTATTTGATTTTTAAACCAATTAATTAATCTCTTTGAACCTCAATTTTCTTATCTGTATAATATTAATACCCATTTGATGGGTTACTGAAAAGATTAAATAAGATTACATGTAGAAAATATTTTTTAGCGCATTTCCTAGCACACAGTGTGTTCAAATCATGGTCCAAATGGCCAGGAACCTGGGAACACATCGTGTCTTCAGGCAAAGGAGAAATTCTAGGTGGCCGGGATATAAAGGCCACCTTTGACTCACCAGTCTGTCAGTTACAGTTTGTCAGTCACTTCGTCACCTAAACCCTCAGTTTCCTCACCAGCAGCATGAATGATTAGAGCTTTCTCTTGAGGTTGTTGAGAGATCCAGATTAGATAATGTCTGTGAAAACATTTTGTAAACTATAAAGGGCCATGTAAAAATGCTGGAGTTTATGGTCTGGTGAATAGGGAGCAACCACAGCCCAGGTGGGTGTTTGACATTCTCGGCCAAGGAGAATAATTAACTTCAGTAACATGAAATTAGCAGCTGATGTAAAGCAAGTGAGCTTAGAGCAGTTGATTATAGTAATGGTTAGTAATTGCCTCCTAGTAATTAAGCAATAATGAGCTTCCAGGGACAGAATCTTGTTAGGGTAAAAGATGGATCAAAGGCTTTCAATTCAGTGTACACTTACTGAACACAGCAGTGGGTTAAGCCGAGACAGGTGTCTTGTTGAGGTACAGTACTTGTCCTTAAGGATAGCAGGGGTGTGGCCAGGCTTGGTGGCTCACGCCTGTAATCCAAGCACTTTGGAGGCCAAGGTGGGTGGATCATCTGAGGTCAGAAGTTCAAGACCAGCCTGACCCACATGGTGAAACCCTGTTTTTTTTTTAAAAAAAAAACAAAAAACAAAAAACTGATAGTAGGGGTGAGAGACATGTAGAGCATGGCTCCTTCCATGAGGTAGATGCACATGTGGGGACATACTTGGAGGAAGGTCCCCAGTGCTCTGGGATCATCAAAGAGGGTGAGACTCGCCTGCTGAGCACCCTGTGCCAGTCTGAACCCAGCCCCCAGAGCTGGCCCAGATTCTAAAGAACCTCAGATCTATGATGCCTTCTTAAAATTTTACTTGCCCTTTTTTGTTCCTCTGTTCGGTTGTTTTGGATTTATCAGGGATATCTCGTTTCTCACGTCCTGCCCATTGCCCTCCACAGCTTCTGGGGAAGCATGGTATTATGCCTAGGACCTCCATTTCTACTCTGGCTTGAGTACTCAGATAGGATGTCTAGTTCATTTTGAATTTCAGATAAACAACAAACTTTAAATGTCTCATGCAACATTTGGAACAAATTTATATTAAAATGTATGTCTTGCCATCTAACCATCTGAAACTGAAATCTGACATGGTCAGGGTGACATGACCTGGATTTCTTATTTAAAAAAAAAAAAACAAAAACCTGTATCTGGCAACCTTACCTGGGAAGCTCTTATTTCAAATGCTGTAAAACATAGTAGTATTTACATAGAAACATTACACGCTAATGTTTCGTGGAGCCCTAGTTGCAAGGCATATTAAAAGTTGTTTTATATGAAAAAAGAATTCTCAACTAAAATCATGTTTGGTAAATCCTAGATTAAATGAAATTAGCTGGCCTTCATTATGGGAATTTTCAGAACATTTTAAACCTCCAAGATTGGGTGATAATATTTAGTATTTCTCAAATTTATGTTGCTTGAAGCTATCCTCTACACTTCTCACTTAGCATCTAGGGTCATAGGAGCAATGCTGAATGAATTTTGAGGGTTTCTGGTAATCGGGTCTATTTGCAGACCTGAGTTCTGATTTTGGGTTTTGGGAAAATACCATTCTGTAGAAAAAAATTTTATAATTCTATAATTTTTTGTTTTTAAAATGAACAGATTTGTAATAAAATGTACACATAGACATGAGTGCATATAAAGAAAAAGACTAGAAGGATGTATACCAGAGTGCTAACTGTAATTAATCCCAAGAGAAGGTCTGGGTAGGGAGAGATGATAGTTTCCTTTTCCTTTTTGCTTGCCTGTATTTTCTGCAATCATTATAGATGACTTTTGTCAGAATGGTGGGAAAAACCATTTACATATTTTTAAAAGGAGAACCTTTCCATATGTTATCTTATTTGCCTCTCGCAACTCAGTGATATAGGTTCTAATATCATCCCTATTTTATGGATAAGGAAACTTTACACAGTGCTCTTTAACAGACCCAGCCCCTTTTGGCTTCATTGCCTATGCTGCCTCTTTGTTATGAAAAAATAACCACAGTTGCTGTGTTGGGAAAGGGCCTTGTTGCCTGTTTACCCAGTCCCTTCATTTACAGACTGAGTCAAGGCCCTGAAAGTGAAAAGGATCTGCATGAGACACTCAGTCTTTTAATATGGACAAGGCACCAAAATATTTTAGGGGACTGGGGTTGGAGGTGTGTCAGAAAGTTGGGGAGAAGATCTGGCCTCTGACTTTATCTGTTATATTGAGCCCCAAAGAGGAAGAGGAAAAATGCACCAGTGAATACAGGTTTTTTTAAGGCCACTTATGGATTGATTGATTGATTGACAGAGTTCCACTCTGCTACCCAGGCTGGGGTACAGTGGTGTGATCATGGCTCACTGCAACCTTGAACACCTGGGCTCAAATCATCCTCCTGCCACAGCCTCCCAAAGTGCTAGGGTAACAGGCATGAGCCACCACGCTCGATAAAGGCCACTTTTAAAGAATGGCTTAAATGTTGCCAAATTCATGTTGCTTAGAATGTTTTTTTCTTTTTCAGCTTTGCATACTGGATTTCATCTCCTGTATCTTTTTAAAATTCATTTTTTCATCTTGCTCATCAATTTTTTCCAGTTTGAATCTTATCCCTATATCCATTTATTTAGAACTATTGTGGTGATGATGATACTGGGGATTTTGCTTGCTCATCTATGTTCCTGTTTATATTCCCTGCGCCTGGTACTTAGTTACAGGGATGAAAGATGACTGAATTGTAAGAGTCATGCAGCTAAAGTCTGACTTCAGGTCCTGAAAGAGCCCTGGGCTGGACGGCATGGTGAGGAGCAGCACTTGCGTAATCTGAAGTCAGTGTGTGGCCCCATCAGTGTGGGTGTGTTGCTTCCAGAGCGGGGAGATTCTAGAACACTGCAGTTCAAAGGGGCCCGGGAATCATTCAACTGAGCCTCTAGCCGTCATGACAGAGAGACAATGTCAATTACAAGGCAGGGGGCAGCAGCATCCTGTTGCAGAAAGAGCTATGATTTGGGGTCACATGGATCTAGGTTTAAATCCTGGTCCTGAGACTAACTAGCTGCGTGACTTTAGAATGATATCTCTGTATCAGCTTCCTCTTATGCAAGTTAGGGATAATAATAAGAGTACTTACATCATAGGATTATGAGGATTAAATGAGTGAGTACATGTAGAAGAGTATCCAGGACATTACAAGCACTGAATAAGTGCCAGCTGTTATCATTGTTAACAATAATAGAATATAAAATGCTGCAGTAGAGTTTGGTCAGTAGCTTATCTTGCGGCATATCTTCCCTCCAGATGAGGTATGACTTTTGTTGTTAATTTAGGGCTGGCTGTAAATGCTTCTGAATGGGTTTCCCCCATTCAGGAGGAAATGCTATCTCATCACATGGGGATTGGTAATGCCTGGGCTGTTATTTTATGGACCAAACAGAAGGGCTTCCTCAAAGAGTAGAAGTTCGCAGATTATCTTGTGATCTTTTGCATTCATTCCATTAGAAGCAAAACAGTAACTACAACAGATAACCTGGAGTTTAAAGTCCAGCTTTAGCCACAGACAGCCTGCATTATTACAGACCAATTTTTATCCAGAGTTCCTTTTAAAAAATATCCAACAAGTGTTGGCATAGTGGCTCATACCTGTAATCCCAGCACTTTGGAAGACTGATGCAGAAGGATTGATTCAGGCTAGGAGTTCAAGACAAGCCTGGGCAACATAGTGAGACTCTGTCTGTATAAAAATTTTTTTTAAATTAGCTGGGCACAGTGGCTTGCATCTGTAATCCGAGATACTTGGGAGGCTGACGCAGGAGGATTGCTTGATCCGTAATCATGCCACTGCACTCCAGCCTGGGCAGCAGAGCAAGATCTTGTCTCAAGAGAAAGCAAAACAAACAAACAAAAACATTCAACAGCATTAGAGTAATTTCTTATAGAAAGGGTTACTGTCTTAACTTTTATTCTGGGGCTTGCTCTAGATGGTAACCACATGAGATAATGTTTACTATGACAAAGCATCTTTTTCACCTTCTTTTTCTAAAGGTGCATAATTTGGGCACTGTTAACCTCTTTTAGGAGCCCTGTTTCTAAAGTATTTGTTTTTGTCACTCTCCTCTGGATTCTGCTTCAGTTTTTTGACCTCCAGCAAAGATGTAGAAACAAGTGTGTGTCAAACAGTCTAGGCACAGAAAAAGAATGCAGTCCAGTCCTGTGTTTCCTGTTTCTTATGGGCTTATGAAAGCAGGGAGCTGTGGTCCGCAGAGCCTCATGTCTTCCTGCTGTCCTTGTGCCTTTCCGTGACTTTATTCTTTTTCTTTCTAATAGCTTTATTGAATTTTAGTTGGCATACCATGTCTGTGAGTGTTTATCAGGAGTTTGACTTTGATTATTATTTAAACTCCTACAGGGTGGTAGAGTTTTGTATTTGAAGCCAGACGGGAAAAGGAAAGGGCAGTCACATTAGTTAAGTGCTTGTCCTTCATCATGTAATTCATCCATCTTTTTTGAGCTGTTGGTCTGAGCCAGCATTGTGAAAGGCACTTAGGTAGTGGTTCAAGGACATGAATGCAGAAGCCAGGTTAACTGGTGTGAATTTCAGCTCCACTGGTTATCAGCCATGGGACCTTATGACTGCTTATTTAAATTCTCTTGTGTCTCAGCACCCACCTCTACCAAGTTGGGATACACATAGTATAGCATCCCTCTCATAGAGTCTTTTTGAGAATTAAATGAATAATATAGAATGAAATGATGATGATGGGGAGGGGTGAGGATCTGGACTGAACCAGACACCTCATTGCCCTCATGAGTGTGCATATGCGTAGGGCTGAGGTGCTGAGGGATGGGGCCAGAGTGTGAGATAGAAGAGAGGAGGAGGGCATTGTGGGAGCCTAGAGCAGGGAAGCCCAGGCCCCTCGTAGTCAGAGGAGCAGACTGGAGGAAGTCATGTTGAAGTTGAGATCTAGAGGAGGCTTGAGGTGGTGGGGGGAGGGTGCGAGGGTCAGTTGTATTCTGTGTTCTATGCAGACAGAACAATATATGTGAAAGTCTGCATAGAACACAGAATACAACTGAGGAGAAAAGCAATCCCATGGTGTTTAAGCAACTGTGGATTGTGAGGAGAGTAGTAGGAAACAGAGGTGGCAATGACAGCAGGAACCAGATCATGGAAAACTTGAGAATCATTTTAAGGAGTTTGGGTGACAGTGAACCAGGGACTGTCCTTAGGGGCTCCCATTCTTTCAAGCATCACAATTCTGTGGTATAGGTGTTATTAGCCCCATTTTGGTGATGGGGAAGCTGAGGCTTTGAAAAATTGTCATTCGCCCAAAGACACAGGCTTAGAAGGTCATTGTAGCCAGGATTTGAACCTCGGTCTCTCTGGCTCCATTTGTTATGATATCATATGCCTTTGGAACATGAAGTCTGGCTCTTAGCTTTATAATTTCAGGCCACCCTCTTAATATCCTTTAACCTCAGTTCACTAACCTGTAAAATAGATAATATGTTAGTAAATATAAACCTTATATACTTGTAGAAACAAATTGAAATATACACAAAGGGCCAAGTATAGTGCTACCGCTGCTTATGGACCCAGATTCTTACACAGAGAAATGTTTTTCCTTCACGTCCCAATGAACTGGGATGGAACCCCATGAACTGCCACCTACATGTTGGCTTGGTGGTCAGTCATTTTTCCAAGGATTAATTGAATTCTACAGACATCATCTTTGCACACAAGGAATTTACTCCCCTGGCTACCTGACAGGTTCCACGGATTGGGCTCTCCTCTCTGCCCTGCAAGCTTGCAGGCATTTGAGTCTGCTGGTAGGAGTGACCCTGAGGCGTCTCTACTCTTCCAATTAGGGAGCGCACCCTTCCCCCTCATGCGCTCCCTAATTGCCGGTTTCCTTTCTCTCCAGAGTCTACTGGGCCTGTTCTGCCTACACCTTAGGAAAAGAGCTCCACCGTGGGCTCAAAGTGTTATTTAACTTTTCTCATGTTGGTCTTGAGGGCAGACATTGTCTCTTCTCTGTATTTCTTATGGTGATAGCAGAGTACTATATAGTAGGCACCCAGTAGAACTGCTTTTACCAGGATAGGGCTTTATGGTATCAGTCTCACTCTATCACTCCAGCTGGAGTGCAGTGGTGTGATCTCCCAGCTCACTGCAACCGCCGCCTCTGAGGTTCAAGCTATTCTTGTACCTCAGCCTCCTGAGTAGCTGGGATTACAGGCATGTGCCACCACATGTGGGTAATTTTTGTATAAGGTTCTTTTGTAAGTTTTTAAAATCTTCATAGCAGGACACTGAAGTAGATAGGGCATTCTTTTAGTATGCCCTTTTAGTCATGGTCTTTTTAGCACAATTGGAAAAACTAAAGCCTACACATAAGCAACATGCCAATTAATTTTTTCTTTCTGTAAGATAGACATTTACAAAGTGTAACTCTGTCTCAGGGGCAAGGAAATAGAGCTGAAATGCATAATCCCATCCCTTAAGGATGAGGCAGATATTTGAACAATCACATACAGCAAGTGAAGTTTTAGGACAGAGGAATGGTGAAAGTGTTGGACTTTATTTGGCAAAGATCAGTGAAAGATTCAAAGAGAAAGGGATTCCGGCATTGGACTTTCAAAGACTTCAAGACTCAGAAGGGGTGGAAGAGGAGGCATCCCAGGCAGAAGAAATGGCACATAGCAAAGCCCAGAGGAGGGAACAGACAGGCACTTTGGGAGGCCCTGTAACATCAGCATAGCTGGCAGGAGATGTGTAGGAGGTAGAGGGGAAAGGTGGCTATGACTCCCATTGGTAAGACCCTAAGACTTCCAGAAGCAGGAGACTAAAAGGGCCCTTCATAGTTTCTTCCTCTTTATTCTCCTTCATTTAGTCTCCTAGTCACTAGCACTTCTTCCCAGAGTCCATACTCATTCTATAAACTTCCTTTAAAGCTCTGGATGTGCTTGCTGTTGTCCTTGCTTCTTTGCACCCCAGCTTGCCTGCACATAGATTTGTAATCTCCTTTTCATGCTAAAAGAAAACATTTTTCGCAGGAGGAGCCTGAGAAATGACAGCTTGGAGGAATAAAGGTTACCAGGTGAAAGGACATCTGCGTCATTTAGTCTCTGTGGCATGAGGTAGCTGAGAAGGAATAAAGTCCGTCTGTGACCAAACACCTGTGTTTCTCACTGGCAGGGTCACCAGAGGGGAGCTTTAAATTGCTCTTTAAATGAGTCAGACCTGTTCCCCAGGAGACAAAGCTGGTGCAGCTGGAGCTCTGTGGGCAAGTCTATCTGGGCCCCTCTCACTTTTGCCTGTGTTTGCCTTCCAGCTGTGTAAATGAGTATGGAAGATTATGATTTCCTGTTCAAAATTGTTTTAATTGGCAACGCTGGTGTGGGGAAGACTTGCCTCGTCCGAAGATTCACTCAGGTAAGGGAACCAGGAAGCCCGGGGTTGGGTTTCTCAGTCTAGCTTCAAGGACTGGGGGAATCTGTCAAGATGGATGACCAGTCCCAATGCTAGCATCGTAGCCATGAGTTCCTAATTCACCCTTTGAAAGCTGCATCTGCTTTGTAGCCTAGACAAGGTGTTTTTAAAACCACCTCGAGAGAGCATGGCTCTGGGGATCTCCACCAACCCTCCCACGCCTCTTCTTGCTTCCTTTAATGACAGAGGCAAGTGGTTTTGCTGTCAGTATGCAGTATCAAATCTAAATTATCAGATAAAAGTAAGTTACTAGTTAATAATCCCCAGGTGGAAACAAATGAATCTGGACATCAAACTGAACCTAAATATTAAATTTTTTAAAACTCGAATACAGATTAAACCAATCCAACTCCCTGCCTGTGCCCCCTTGCATCCTCCCAGGAAACTTGAGTGAATCATTTTCATTTAGAACCAAATAGGCCAATTTTCTAAATCTCTTCAGTGGGAATGAAATGAGAATGGTGAAGAATTATCTGAACTGAACTGAGTGGTCCCTCTGGATTGAATTCTTATCATATGATCAAAGTACAAGTTCCCTTTCGGACTGCCCGTTTGAGAATCACTGGTGGAGAATATATACTGCTTTTACATGGAAATGAGTGAGAAATCATTCCAAAGTTGACCTTTTTTGTATGTTTTCCCCTGAAGAATATGAATGGTACCCTTTTTAGGACCATTACCTATGTATTTTGAATTTTCATAAAATACTTGTTCAGCAAGTTGGGACTTGCTCTTCTCTCTAAGGCATAGGATAGCCTAGTTCTGTGGAAAGAGCAGTGGCTTGGGAGTTGAGACATGGGTCATAATCCTGGTTCTGCCCCTGGCTTGCTCTGTGAGCCAGAGCAAGTTACTTCCCTTTCCTGGGACTCCCTGTTGCACATTAGGGGCTGGGTGAGCTCCAAGGCCCCTTCCAGCTTTGACAGTCTGTGGTTTTGTGGAAAACGAAAGAGGCAGATTGAATAACAAACAGCTATAGGGCCCAGAGTCACTTTGGAAATGTCAGGGTTTTTCCCTGATACGTGAACACAGAGTAGAACCATGCTTCTTACTAAGCCTTGGCCTCTTGAAATCACAAGTAACAAGCTAACAGGCATCTGGGCTCAGTCAGCTGCCTTGGAGATATATTAGAAACTCAACTGGGTTTTACTTCTACCTAACATTAGTAATATTTTCTGCTTTTGACAAAAGGATAAGACTGCAGAGCTGTAGCGAAGTTTTCAGTTTCTTTATCAAAAGTTTCCTTGACTTTGTCTTAGTATTAAAAGGTCACTTAGAGATTATTCAACCTACCTCCATTATTCAACCTACCGCTCTCACTTTATAGATGAAAAGCTCAGATCTAGAGGGGCGAAATGCCTTGCTTAGGATTTCATATTGTGAGATAGTGGCAAGGCTAGGATTAGAACCTGGATTCCAGATTTTCAGCCTGGTAATTTCTGTCTCCCTCACATTCTAACTTCTGAGACCATTCTCATTAAAACACAAACTTGGCTGGGCGTGGTGGCTCACGCCTGTAATCCCAGCACTTTGGGAGGCGGAGGTGGGTGGATCACGAAGTCAAGAGATCGTGATGATCCTGGTCAACAGGGTGAAACACTGTCTCTACTAAAAAGATACAAAATTAGCTGGGCATGGTGGCACACAGTGGTCCCAGCTACTTGGAGGCTGAGGCAGAAGAATCTCTTGAACCCAGGAGGTGGAGGTTGTAGTGAGCCGAGATTGCGCCACTGCACTCCAGCCCTGTGACAGAGCAAGACTCCGTCTCAAAAAAAAAGCACAAATTCTGTCATTAGATATGGAAATGTCTCTATTTTCAACAGTAATTTTTGCCAATAAGCACATTTTTCTTCTTTCTTGTTTTTTGTGTCTACATTTTACCCCTCCTATCCCCTCATCTCCACCATAAACTCTTATTTCAGAGGCAGAATTATGTTTGTTTTTGTTATTTAGCAGACAGTTAAAATGAATTGGCTGTTTTTTAGGCACAAGGATTTGGGGAAGGGAAGAATTTGTTTAATTTTTTGGCATTTGTTGAGCTGCAAAACATCTGGAGCTATAAACTTGAAGCTTGGCAGCTTTTGTATCTGAGCCAAGCCAAAACAGAAGAAAATTGATTCAATATTTGAAAGTAAAGTTATGAATGTTTATGTTTACATCTTTTGCAGACATGCAGTAGAACGTTTTCTTTTGGTTTGAAGTTCAATCTTTTAAGCTAAAACTTTAATTAAAGAACTCTTGATTAAAGATGTCTGAGTCATAGTTGCCAGAACTAATAAAGTCCATTTTACTTTAATTTCTGGAGAAATTAGGTGAAGAGTTCTTTTTTAATAGAATTTCTTGCTACACCCAACTCCCTCCCTAAGCTTGTAGGAAACAATTATGTAACAGTATATTGCATAAATTATACTTGTGACTTTGTTAAAATCCCATCTTTCTGGTTAAGTTTCCAGTTTGAAGTAAAGCATTTTGTTTATTTGGTTTAAAATGGCTTACATCAGCCTCAAACTCATTGAATTTGAGGCCCAGAGAAGACGAGTGGTTTGTCTGAGGTTACAAAGAGATCCTAAGGCTACTGCCTCCTGGTTTAGTGCTGTTTCTACCTCACTGTCTCCTTGATGACTTAATTTTCTTAGATTATCGTCCCAGTGTCATTGGCTTTGATCCCGTGTAATTATATATGCATGGTATATTGCACTGAGGAAAACAGTGATCACCCTGAGGCAAAGGAAAATTCCGAAGCTTCAGGAGATCCAAAAAGACAGATCCCAAAACTGTCTTATTCCTGCATCTTGTGCTGAGCTCTTACTTTTTTCGTATTGTTGCCCACTCCTGCAGCTGTCCATGCTCAAGACTGATAACTAGTTTTAAGTACCCTTGATTTTACCTCTTAGAAAGAACCTATCTGTCTGCCCCCACCCTTCCAATTCTGATCTCATCCCTGTGGTTGCATACCCTTCTTATCCTCATGTCCGATTTTTCTGTTTCATTCTTAAAATCACGTTCCCCTGCCCTTTCTCAATTTTCTCCTTCACCTGTCTTTCTCTCCTTTTCCCTGTCCCCTATCTCTTTCCTCTTCTTTCAGCATTTTCCTCTCCCACTTTCTCCCTCCTTTCTCTTTCCTTCAAGACATACATACAAAGTTGCACAGGACTCTCTTGACAGGAGCCAGAGTTATCTTTTCTCCCAGTTAACTCAGCTGAAGGAAGGACCTGGTGATGGGTGGTGCTGAGGAAGCGGAGAAAGAATTTCATTTAATTAAAGTACTTGCTTAGCTGTTCTTTTCTATTATTTCTTCTTCAGGGTCTTTTCCCCCCAGGTCAAGGAGCCACAATTGGAGTTGATTTTATGATTAAGACAGTGGAGATTAATGGTGAAAAAGTAAAGGTAAGGTGCTAAATATTCACTAAGGTGGTCATGTGCCATGTGAGAGGTTAAGGAAAGTAGTGCTTTTGTAACATTTATTAAATCTCCTAATTGCAACCCACATTGAAACAATGCACTCAGCCATAATAGCTTATTTTCAAACAGTTCTTCAAGTCTTTTTTATGGGGGAAGGAAAGAATTTTGGATGATGTGTATACAGATTAGAAGACAGAGAATGGCTAAGACATGTTTATCCTGTCTCCTGTCATGTCACAAGTGACATAAAAACAAGGAAGAAATTTGTTTTTGGATCTCATAAGCCGGCCCAGTAAGCAGGTGCTACCTCCTCTAAACTGCAACCCCTCGAAAGAGCCTCCTGATTTCTACATTTCATTATGGGTCATTTCATTATGAATCACTTATTTAAATGACGCTGTCTCCTATCATATTCTTATTTCTAAAAAGGAAAGACACTAAATGAGGGATACAGGAAAGGATACATGCTCTCTACCCCCTGCTTCCTGCCCTTCCAGCTGTTGTGGCTTCTGGATGGTTTGGTACCTGGAAGAAGTGTGGTGTGCTCAGGAACAGGAGAAAGGAGAGAAAGTCTACTGCGTACCTGTGATCTGTCAGTGCCTCTGCTGGGTGCTTTTACATGCTGGGTGCTTTTACATATTTAGCTTAGTCCTTACTGTAAACCTGTGAGCTAAGTGGTATTATCCTTGTTTTACTGGCTTCAGAGTGGTTAAAGAACTTACTTATCAATGGCTACACATAAATAAGAATAGGAAGGTGGGAAGGCAGGATTTATACCCATTTCACCAACCAGTACACCCCATTGCCTTTCTGGGGTCTCCCCTGCCATGAAAGAAGAGGGGAAGAAAGGCACACTAGGCCTATCACCTGGAGCAAGGAAAGGAGAAAGGTGATGGAAAGAAATATGAAGCAAGACTAAATCACCTGGAAGGAGGGTAAATATACTGGTGTTTGGCACTGTGCTCTACCTGTGGTTCAGAGTTACTGAAATTCCACCATGCACTCTTCAGAGCTAAGCCTTACAGCAGGACGTGATACCCCATGCTGGGTACAGTGACTCACACCTGTAATCCCAACACTTTGGGAGGCCAGGAGTTGGACACATAGTGACACTCCATCTCTTCAAAAGACAAAAAATTGTCTGGGCATGTTGGTGTGTGCCTGTAGTCCCAGCTACTTGGTAGGCGGAGGTGAGAGCATTGTTTGAGCCTGGGAAGTTGAGTCTGCAGTGAGCTATGATTGTGCCATCGCATGCCAGCCTGGTGACAGAGAAAGATTGCAGTGAGCCATGATCATGCCATTGCACTCCTGTCTGGGTGATAGCGTGGTTTTATCTGTGTGTGTGTGTGTGTGTGTGTGTGAGAGAGAGAGAGAGAGAGAAAGAGAGAGAGAGAAAGAAAAGGAAGGAAGGAAGGTGGGAGACAGAGGGGAAGGATAGGAAGGATAGCATATCAGCAGCACAATGAAAACTGGCATTTTAGAGTTCTACCTTGATTCCCAACCCAAGCATCTTATGTTTGGGTCCATTTATTTGCATCCTTCTCCCATATGTACATACTCTCCTTCCTTTGAGTGCCTTGGGAAGACCAGAGAAGCTCCATAATGCTCTTCAGCATTTTCTAGATACTTGCCATCACAGAGAAGTGTTCAGGAGGAGGCCCTTGATTCAGGGCCAGAAGCTCTCTCAGTGTCTCTTCCAGCCCTGACTCCTTAAAATAACTCCTACTGCAGAGACATCCACACCAAATACAGCAGTAAATGGGGAGCAGGAGCGCTGGAAGATAAAAGCAGGGTGTGAAATCCAAGTAAATGCTAACTAGAAAGTGAAAAAAATAGTGTGGGGGGTGGAGAGAAGGAGCTAGGCTGTGGGAACAGGAAGGAGAGTGTGCTCAGGAGGCATTGAGGGGAAGTGTCTTTTGTAGTGTTCTGTTATCCTAGTGGAGGGGAGTTAGTTACCCAAGAAGTTGGGTGAAGATAATACTGTTTCATGCATTTTACTTCCAGATGTTTTGGTTTTCCATTCATGTGTGTGTGTGTCTGTGTCTGTGTGTGTGTGTTTGTGAGTTCATTTATTTTATCAGAAATACTAGTGCCTACTACCTTCCAGGCACTGGCCATAAATAAGGGTGAAAAAGGAATGGTCTCTGTTGTTAAAGAACAGGCTTATTTTTCTTTCCTGAATTCCCAGGCATAGATATTCCATTTATTCTGCTTCCTGCAAACCTTATTTTAAAGTGCTTAGTGCTTATTACATTCTGCAAAAATTAATCTTTTTATAACATCTGACTCCACCATAAGCCACAGGCTCCCCAAGAGCAAGGTTTGTGTCTTACTTATATTTGTATTCACAGCACACTTTCTGTCTCCAATACCTCTTCAGGCTTCTAGAACTTTATCTATAAAAAGTGACAGTTGGCTCATCTCCCAAATCCAGTCCAAATCCACTTGCCTGTGATTCTTCCAAGCCCAATATATAAAATAAAGGTACAGAATGGCCCTCTTCAACCACATTGATTTAAGGGCCTCATTAACATGTAGGCATATGAGGAATAACTTATTTAATTTTTTCTTAGAAAAGGGAAAAACTGCACAGTTGTTATCTTATTGTCATCCTTTTTTTTTTTTTGAGACAGAGACTTGCTCTCTTGCCTAGGCTGGAGTGCAGTGAAGCTCACTGCAGCTTTGACCTCCTAGGCTCAAGTGATCCTCTCACCTCAGCCTCCCAAGTAGCTGGGACTACAGGTGTGTGCCACCACACTCAGCTATTTATTTTTATTTTTTGTAGAGATGGGGTCTCACTATGTTGATCACTCCTGGGCTCAAGCAATCTTTCTGCCTTGGTCTAGAGTAATAAGCAAAACTCTAAACTCAGTTTAAACCATTTAACCTTAGGATATTAATCATAATAGAAATAGAAGATTTGTTGTCTCTCTCTCCAATCAGATCTATGTTCATAGATAGGAGTCAGGAGAGTATATATTTGTTTCTTCAATCATCTGTCCATCCATTCATTCTTCCATCCTGTATTGTAGTAAATGTTTTGTGCCAAGCACTGTGGTAGTAAAGCATCACTCCCCCTTAGGAACTTACTAACATCTAGCTCCATCTGTGAAATCTTTAATACCCTACTAATCTGTTGAGCAAAATTGTTCAGTTCCTCCCTTGTGATTCCACAATCCTTTGTTCATTTAGTTAGCCATCGTTCATACTATGTACTATGTCCTATGTACTATGTTCCTATGTACTAGGAAGGTACTGGGGGTACAAGGTCAAATAGAAGACAGCCTGTGCTCTCAAAGAACTCAGTAGTAGAGTAGTAAGCCAATGACTGCAAAACATTATTGTGGTGGTGAGGCAATGGAGGTTAAGTAGTGGTGTGAAGAAGAGAGTAGACAAACAATGTAGCCCCATGCTAGAGGTGAGAGTGGTTAGAAAGCCCATGGCTGCAGTATTGAAAACATTGACAGGCATGAGACTAACAGCAGAGGACAATTTCTTCCTTTTTAATAGAACGTCTTATATTCTACTATAGTTAATTAACTGTGTGTTTCCTTCCCATAGACTGTGAGCTTTTTGAAATCAGGGATGATTTTATTCATCTTTATATCCTCCCTGTGTTTTATTCATCTTTTTATACTTCCTGTGCCTAGCACAGTGCCTTGCATATATTAATGTCCTATACATGCTGAAACATGCAAATGAATTGCAGAGAATGGCGAAACCAAGCTGAGTAACAAAGGCAATAGAATATGAATATCCTCAATAATCAACTGTTAGGTAGAAGCAGGCATCCCGCTATGAGAAGGTAACATATCTTGTCACAGTCACACAATCACTGTTCTAGAAAATATTTCAGTGGCTTTAACCCTCAAAGTTGATCTCAAGATGTGAGAACACACTGATTTCTAATGCCGAACAGTACCTAAATTGCAAACACAAGTGTTTTAGGGGCTCAGTGCAGCTTTCAAACAATAGTCCGTTATTCTAAGACACAACCTGGCAGAGAGGAACCGACCGTGTCCCTAGGTTTCAGGCAGAGAAGAGAAATCGCCTTTGTCCCAGCAAAAACCATAACATCTGTATGGTGGCCTTTAGCATACACAGGCTTTCATGTATATCATCAAAGAGCAGCTGCAACTTCAGATCAAGGAGAGTCTTTGTGTGCTGCTGATTCATGGCAGGGGCTACAGGTCACTCAGCAGTCTCTTTAGCTAAGCTGTTATGAGCAGAGGGTGACACCAACAGATTCCATCCTCTTTGGATACAGATGCACATTTAAATTAGTCTTTGGTGGCAACGGCAGCATGGGAGCATGGAATGAGTCCTCAACTGGAAATAGAAGGCCTGGATGCCAAGTCCTAGCTTTATGAGTAACCAGTTAGTTAGGAACCAGAGTTTCCATTAATACGGGAGGTGTATACTTGCCTACCTCACTGGGTTGTTGTAAAGATTAAATGAGACTGCCAATAAATATTTGATCACCTCCTGTTTGTCAGGCTCTGTTTGATGAGTAAAATGGACCCTGACATCTCCCTCAGGGAGCTTTCAGTCTAGTGGGAAAGAATGCTATTAAACAAATTATTACAAATTTTACAAATAAATGATTCAGGCGTGTCAGGTGCCATGAGGGATAATGACAGGATGTATTGCAAGAGAGACTGTGTGGGATGGCGGGTGGGGAACCTAGCCTAATCTGAAGGTTCTGGAAAGCCTTCCTGAGGAAGCAGTCTTACGTCCTTCAACATGAATACACCTGAGACCTGCAAAATTTGTGCAATTAGAAGGAAAGCTTATTATTTTCGTTGATGTTCTTATTTCTCGAGGCCTTGTGATTTGTTCTACATTAAGCAGCCTCTCTGGAGAATAGTTGTTTTCAGTAGTTGTCTACTCTGTGCAGGGAAATTCAGGGAGAATTAAGAAGTACTGTCTTCTTCTTTGTTATTTGAATTATTAGTTATTAGGGCTTAGAACTGGTACACAACTGCAGAAAAAGTGAACCTTTAGCAGGTTGTGTGTTAGTAACCACTTTTTGTAAAGAAATTGTCAAAGCCCAAATAGATTAAGTGACTTGGCCAAGGTCATAGAGCTTAAGAGACCTGAAGGGAAACTATATTGTCTGCCATGGCGTTATTCCTGTTTTCTTTAACAAAGATTATACTTTAATACATTTATTTGAATTCTGAACTGGAAAAGTAATGAGGCTGGATCTCCCTCCAGTTGCTAACTAAATGCCAACAGTCACAGGATAACAGCTTGCCCTGTATCGTGCCTTTTGTAATAAGGCATTGCGGTTAAGAACGTGGACTCTGGAACCACAATGCCTGGTTGAATTGGTTCTGGGACATACTGGCTATGAGATGCTGAAGAAGTTAATTAATCTCACTGTGCCTCAGTTTCTTCATGCAAGAAATGGGTATTGTAATAGTATCCACTTCATAGGGATTATTTTGAGGAATAAGTGAGTTACCACAGGTAAAATGCTTAGAATAGAGCTTGGCACATAATAAAGGCTTGATGAATTTTATGTTTTTTTTTTTTTTTTAGAATAAAAAGGAAACTCTTAACAAAGAAAAAACAAAATAAAATAAGCCCCTCTCCCTAACCAGAAACACACCCAACAATTTTTTTTAAATTTTAAGTGCTTTTAAAAAAATTTTTTTATTTTAGGGTAGAAAATAACCATGAAATTATTTGGGTAAAGGTGTTCCCATTTCCAAACTAAAACAAGGCAAAACTTTTTTTTCTTTATTTCTCCAACCTGATCCTTCTCTACCTGATTCTTCTCTTATGCCTTTATAGCTACAGATCTGGGACACAGCAGGTCAAGAGAGATTTCGGTCCATTACCCAGAGTTATTACCGAAGCGCCAATGCCTTGATCCTCACCTATGACATTACTTGTGAGGAATCCTTCCGTTGCCTTCCTGAGTGGCTGCGGGAGATAGAACAATATGCCAGCAACAAGGTCATCACTGTGTTAGTGGGTAAGTAAGGGCTAAAGAGGAGGGAAATTGATTTGTGGGCATCAGAGGATTTATAATCACATAAAGCTCATACATTGGTACCTTCCAAGAATATAGTCCATAGCTAATAGTTCATGCAGTCTTCTGTTCCTTCAGTTCTTCTGTAATTGAAGAGAAAATGAAATAGGTCCTTTCCCATGGTGATAGTTTAGAAAAATAAAGTAGAAAACATTACTGATTGATTTTTCTATCAACGTAGGCTCTAGGGAAGAAGTTGGATGGCCATGAAAGTTATGTGAGCTGCTAAAAATTTTAAAAGTCTAATTACAAGATGACAGTAAGGGCTGTTCTAGAAAAAAACTGTCTTTTCAGTTGATAAGGAATTCATTATTGAAGCAATTGTTTATTGCCTAAAAAATGGAGTTTGGTTATTCTTCCTTCCTAACATTTAGGCTGATTTGAGAAATTCTGTGTTTCACAAAGAATCCAGTAAGAGAAATGCTGTGGTTTGTTTCATCTTGTAGGAGAATAAAACCTCTATTTAGTATGAGGGAAAGCATAAAACAACCATAGATTTTCTATGGTGATGGATATACGCATTGAAATGGACCAGATCATTAAAACACTTCTCTATTTGTAGTGAAAAAGTTTTAGTAACCATTTGATTGTTAACACATTTTCTTCCTAGAAAGGGACATTGCTATATAGTCTAGCAATACCTGAATTTTGGGAATTTGAGTAGAGAGCCTTAGAAGCATTGTTAAGTTACAAATTATAGTTAACAATAATAAGCTCAGTAAACACTTTAGTGTTATAATTGGTATATATGTGTCAGGAATGATATCAGGAACTTTTTGTGTCATGATCCCTAATTTATAGAACAGGAACCACGACTCAAAGAGGTGAAGTTCTTTTCCCAAGGTCACACAGCATGTAAGATCAACTCCAAGCCCTGTAGTTGTCCAGCTCTAATAGGTTATATTGTAATAAATTGCTGGACTTCTCCTTCAGGCTGCTGGGTGAAGCATCTGCGTTTCTATGAGCTAGTGCTCCCTGCAAAAGCCTCTTGTACAATGGCGAACCTTTGCCATGGAGCATTTGAGAGGTCAGCATTTGTACTCTCTATTTTACAGAAAGCCTTTGGGAACTTGAGTCAAAGTGTTACTACTTGGGATTTTATCTAAGGAAGTTAAGTGAAGATTTGAGGGGAGATAATTAGTTCAATCTGAAAGAGGAATTGGCTTTAAAAAAGTTTTACTATGGAAAATTTCAAACATACACAAAAGTATAGTGAATCCCCTTCTACACATTTCCCAGCTTCCACAGTTACCAACCCATGACCAATCTTACTTTATCTCTTCCTTAGCAATGCTGTCCACCTTCTCCCTCAGATTATTTTTAAGCAAATCTCAGATGTTTTATTAATTCATATTTCAATATCTGTGTATATATCTAATAGATTTTTAAAAAGAAAACCTAACCTCAATACCATTTTACACCTAAAATATCTTTACAATTTCTTAGTAGCCTTAAAAACTTAGTATTCAGATTTCCCTGATTGACTCATGAATTTTTTTGTTTGTTTGTTCAAATCAAGATCCAAATAAGGCCCAGAAGCCAGGCATGGTGGCTCACACCTGTAATTTCAGTGCTTTGGGAAACTGAGACAGGAGGATTGCTTGAGCCCAGCAGTTCAGACCAGCCTGGGCAAACATAGTGAGATCAGCCAGGCATGGTAGTATACACCTGTGGTCCCAACTACTCAGGAAGCTGAGGCAGGAGGATCATGTGACCCCAGAAGTTGAAGGCTGCAGTGAGCTATAATCGTACCACTGCATTCAGGCCTGGGGGACAAAAAAAAAAAAAAAAAAAGAAGGCCAGCTAAGGTCCATATGCTGTAATTGATGGCTATGTCTTTTCATCCTTTTTTCTGAAAGTTCCACTCCCATTTTTTTTTTCTCCCTTAGAATTTATTGCTAATGCATTGTTTGTCCTATAGGCTTTACAAGTCTAAATTTTGTTTTATCACCCCTGAGGTATCATTTGACATCACCTCCATCACCTATATTTCTTGCAGATTTGTAGATAAGTCTAGAGAGGCTTGATGAGAGTCAGGGTTTCTTTGGTTTTCTTTTTATATAAAACACTACGTACATCATACTCTGAGGTATAGTTCTCATAGAACAGGCAAGAAGAATGCTTGATTCTTTCTTTTTATTCACCACTTTTCAAGATAGTGAGTTGGTTCTCCAGTATCTTCTAAGAGTAACTGTTGACATCTGTTCATATTTGTAATATCATTATAAATTTATAGATTTAAATAAATTTAATGGGCCAGGTGAGGTGGCTCACACCTGTAATTTCCGGCACTTTAGGAGGCCAATGCAGGTGGATCACTTGAGGTCAGGAGTTTGAGACCAGCCTGGGCAACATGGTTAAACCCCCATCTCTACTAAAATATACAAAAAATCAGCTGGGCACATGCGTATAATCCAGCTATGGGGGAGGCTGAGGCAGGAGAATCTCTTGAATCCAGGAGGTGGAGCTTGCAGTGGGCTGAGATCATGCCACTGCACTCTAGCCTGGGCGACAGAGCAAGACTCTGCCTCAATCAATCAATCAATAAATTTGATGTATTTTAGTCCCTTGCAATTATTATAATTGATGCAGCCATTGTTCCAACTTTGACAGTGGGAGCTTCTTCAAATGGGCTCCTGAGTCCTTTTTGGTATGACCACAGGAATGTTGGATAATTTCTTTGTTTTCTGGTATGGCAAGTGTTCCAGCCGCATCTTGTGCATTTCTTTCCCCAGACCTTGAATTAGCCCTTTCTTCAAGAAGTGCTTTGTTTTCAATGGGAAGTCATATTTAGAGGCCACAACCTAGGTATTAGGAGTCCTCCCGTAGTGGGTTGGCCATTGTTTTCTTTCAGTGGACAGAGTTTGTGTGTATGTGGACATGTGTGTGTGTATTCTATAGTATCAACAAGAGGGTTGTCCTATTAGGTTCTGCTAGCGTTCTGACTCACAAGACTGCCATAGACCACACATGACATCATGTTCACTTACAAGGACACAGGACAGGAAGCACAGCTTAACAGCAGATCAGCATCCGGCATCCCTCTTCAGTGGAAGTAATCCTAGTAGCAGTCCATGTACCTTTCCAGGACCTCCTACCCAGTCCCTAACCCCCAGACAATTCTGGTGTGAGGGAACAAGGCTCATGTCAAACAAATGGAGGATCTGCCTTGGCCTAGCAGCCTAAATACCCCATAGGAGCCTATATTTATTATAATAACTCCAGAGTCATAACACTCAGAGTCTCTTCCAGGGAAGTCACCACATTCAGGGAAGCCCAAAGGTATGGCTTTCCATTAGGTATTTATAAATTCATAGATAGAATTCCCAGGCCAGAAGTAATTTATCAATGAGGTATCATTTTTACCATAAGCAGTGTTTCCAGGTAATAAAATTGACACATCTTTGTCAAGTTTCCTGGAGAATAAAGGTAGGTAGAAAACTTTTTAAAGATAAAATACATCATGAATTATTCATACTGATACTTCCATTTATAATTCAGGACTGCAGAAATTTTACTTAACCTCATTAATCTTATATTTCCTTTTCCTATGCCAAGAGTCCCAGTTCCCAATGATACCAGCGTAATTATTCATTTGCTTTATCCTGTAATATACAGACAGCAACCTCAGAATAATAATACCAACAGTACCACCAACAAGATGATTACCTAAACAGTTTAAAATTTTGCCTTCAGTTCTTTTTGTCCTTAGGCTATATACCACTGGAGATGCATGGTTAAATTACTGTATCTCAAACACCTTGAAATAGTTACTCTGTTGGCCTAGCTTGGTGGCTCATGCCTGTAATTCCGTCATTTCTGGAGGCCGAGGCAGGTGGATTGCATGAGCTCACAAGTTCATGACCAACCTGGACAATGTGGCGAAACGCTGTCTCTTCAAAAAATATTTTAAAAATTAGCTGGACATGGTAGTCCACATCCGTAGTCCCAGCTACTTAGGAGGCTGAGGTGGGAAGGGATGGATGGCTTGAGCCCAGGAGGCAGAGTTTGCAGCAAGTCAAGATCACACCACTGCACTCCAGCCTGGGCAATAGAGCCAGACCTTGTTTCAGTTAAAAGGAAAAAAGGGTTACACTCTGTGTGGTTATTCCACTATGATGAACTTGTTCATTTGTTTAATTTTGCTTTCAGTTTTCAGGGATTGCTTTTTAAATTTAATTTTGAAATTAATTATATAATTATAATAAAGCATTTTTAAGTTCCTAAAGTAAAATCTACAAAACAAAGTATATTCAGAGAAGTCTGGTTTCTATTCCTTTCACCTCAACGCTGTTCCTTTCCTAGGTAACCATTTTCTTTTAAATTAAGATGTTGGTTTATTCTTCTATTAAAAGATAAAGAAAGAAAATATGCATATGATATATGTATTCATAGCCTTCCCTTTTTCTTGGATAGACAGTGCATGTTGTATATACTTTTCTCTGCCTTGCTTTGTTTTTTGTTTTGTTTTGTTTTGTTTTGTTTTTTTGGTGCTTAACAGTGTATCCCAGTGTTTCCTTTGCATGGCAGTATATAGAAATACTCCTAATTGATTTTTACAACAGCAAATACTCTGTTTTGTGGATGGGCCATAGTATATTCCGTCAGTGCTCTACTGATGGATATTTGGGTTGTCTCCAGTTCCTTGCCATTATGAATGGCACTCATATTTTAAAGTAAACGTTTTGGTAATCACAGTCACATTTGCTTTGCTTTACTCGCCCATCTGTCTGGTTTGACTTCAGATCTGGAGTTGAATTTTGATGCTTCTCAGCCTGCAAAAAGTCCAATGATGAATCCTTATTTGATTTTACTACTGTTATAGGCAACAAGATTGATCTGGCTGAAAGGAGAGAGGTCTCCCAGCAGCGAGCTGAAGAATTCTCAGAAGCTCAGGACATGTATTATCTGGAGACCTCAGCCAAGGAATCTGATAATGTGGAGAAACTCTTCCTTGACTTAGCATGCCGACTCATCAGTGAAGCCAGACAGAACACACTTGTGAACAATGTATCCTCACCCTTACCTGGAGAAGGGAAAAGCATCAGCTATTTGACTTGTTGTAATTTCAACTAAAGGCTGAGGCACAGAGAAGCAAAAGGAATCTGCAACTGCCCTGATGGGCCACGAGATGCTGGGGCGATCTGGTGATGACTGTGGCTCCCGCTCTCGGACCTTCTGACTCCTGTGGGCTCCTGAGCTTACAAAAAGCATGGCAGGCCAAGGGCCTAGACCACAGGCCAGCATTAGCAGAACATATAATGGTTTCACCCTTTTGCAGTCTGGAGTTGGAGCAAGGAGAAAATTGCTCTAGGCACTCCATGATCTGCAGAGCATGTTGCTTTTGTTTTTTTAAAAAGCAAGTAAAAGTGCATTCCCGAACAGAGTCCAGGGGGAAATGTACTGTAGGGATCCCTCCTGCACATCAGTGGGTGCATGTGGGAGCTGTTCTTTAGGGCTTCGGTGGTAATCTTCTGGGGGCCCTGGTTTTCTTGTCTACCAGATAAACCAAAACTGGGAAGGCCAAGTACATCTCTGTGGTACGTCTTGACCACCCCATGGAGATTTTGCAAAGTGTTATTTCTCTTGTCCACAGGCACTTTCAAGAACTTTGGGATGTAAAAATGAAATGAAATCTTTACTCATTACCAACAGTAACAATCATTGTTTTAATAATATATACAAGCTCCATGACTCCTTTTGGTGCTAATGATTCTGCTATTTCACAGACCAAACGTTTTAGTACATTGATGTCCTTAAATGTATTATATAGAAATAAAAAAATGGGGGAAGTCCATGAATCAGCAGTCTTTCTCAAAGTCTCATTACTACCTTTTTAAAGGTGGATTTTTGGGAAAAGAGAATACTTTTCCTTTTATGTTCCCCTCTGAATCTCTACCATTCTCTTCTCTTTTCTCTCCAGCCCTTTAAGTAAATGAAAAAGTTTGCAAACTGAAAAATAAATAAATAAATGTTTGATGATATTCTAATATAAAAGCTTAGCTCTAAGACATTTTGAGTAGTATGAGGAAACAGACCAGATATGACCAAAATACTGTGGATTAAGGGACTGTAGTGCAGTGCTCCAAGCAAAGCACAGTCCTTGATAGTAGGTCACATCTTTTACTTCCTGGTACTCTCCATCTTGGACAGACCAAGGCTTAGGATTTTGTAGATTTTTTTAGTATGGTAAGTGAGAATAGCAACAGATAAAAAGTCTCACGACCCATTTTTATATCTTTGATGATAACCATAGAAAAATTCTGCTTGTGGAAGCACATCGAACTGTCAATTTTTCCCCTCCTTGTAATGATGTTACCCTCAGATGCTTAACCATACATTCTTCCTTTTTTCTTTCTCTTTTCCTCTGTTTTTCTGGTCTCTCCTTTTCTTCTTCCCTCCTTCCCTCCCTCCCTCCCTGCCTCCCTTCTTCCTTCCCTCCCATCCTTATATGCATGTGTTACTGCGAATCTCCAATTCAAATGGAGGTGTATATGCCTTTACTTAGCCAATTTTAAAACAGGACTCAAGATGGAAGATGTGCTGCTGAATATATGTTTCTGTTTCTTCAGTGCCGTACTTTGATAGCTTCCAATTTGTTCACTGATAAAAATGCAAATTGGGAAAATAATTAAGCCTGTATGCTGTTGATGCTGTCAGATGTTTCTGTAGCTTGCTGCTTAGCATAACTGAGGGATGAGTAATGGAATAAGGATATGATGTGTAATTCCACTGTTGCTGTAGATGGTGACAATCTCAGTCCTGATATGTTGATGTTTGAAAGCTATTTAATTGTAAAGAAATGAGTCATGTAGAAACATGATGTTCATAAAGCATTTCCCGCATTTCTCTAGCAGATTCCCGATTAACCAGTCTCTCGCACATGGGATTATACATATTTTTTAAGGGACTGATAACTTTTGGTTGGCCTCACTGTGTTTTCCTGATCCTGTGGGAAAGAGAAAGGGATCCCAGAAGTTTGTTTTTCTTTTAGAATCAGTCTCTGCAGGAAAGAAAAGTCATTTTAATAAAACCAAAATAATTTATAATAATTGTTGCCTTTCCCTCCCCGTCCTCTCCGCTAAGCCAGCAACTAAAGGTATTCAGAAAACAAGTTAATCCAGGTGGGTAAAAGAACTTTTTTAAACTGTAAGGAAATGTTCCTAAGTTTAGATTCATTACCTGTCATTTAGGGCAAAAATCCAGTGCCCCCAGCACATGATGACCCAACTTTTTCTCACAGTAGCAAGTGCTGAAAATAAAGTTGCTTTGTGAACTTAGAGGAAATGGCTGTGTCAGATTGGACTAACTTACTTGCAGAATGACACCTTTTAGGGCCACACTTATATTATTCCCTAGGGTTTAGCCTTCTCTGTATATCCATGGCCAGACTAAGAATGGGATTAAAAAGCTGTGTGGTCTTGGCCTCTTTCTTCCCTGTTGCTCCTCCCAGCCTTTCTATAACTTACCATTCATGGCCCATCAGCAGGAGCACAGGAGAATGTGGGACATTTTTTTCTTAGTTGTGTGAATTCCAGATTAGGCCTTATGGATGCTTGTCTACTAATATATCTCAAGTTTGAAATCCCTGACAATATTGTAGGTGCAATAAATATTAGTCGAATAAATATTTAAGTGCCAAGATTGGGAGGAGGCTTTTTTTTATTAAACAGAAATCCCTTTAAGTAGAACTTAATAAAGGACACTAATTACAGTCATCTTAATCCAGGCCAGGACCTAAATTTATTGGTTTGCCTAACAGTCTTATTGCCATGGCAATATTTGCTGAGTCTTTAGATAAAAATGAATTCTTATTTAGTGGTAGATGAAGAAAGAGAAATTGCTTTATCATAGTTTAATTCGGCTTTGGTCTGCTAAGACTACCAGGGTTTGTGTATTCCTCCATTTTTGGTGTGATCTTTTTCTTCTTTCAATAAAGTTATTAAATATATAGCAAAACTTTTTTCAGTTTCCAATGAAAAATGCATGATACTCATGTCATGAAGTCAGGCTTGGGGATAGCTAGGAAATAAAAGTTTGCTGATAATGATATTTCATTATGGCTTTGTGTAGACTATATCCTCAAAGGATTTTGTGCTTTGCCCGGAGAAGGCTTTTTCTCCCATTGTATGCTTTTATTAAATCTGTTGAATTATATTAATATTTTTTGAATTTGCATGGCCAAATACTTTTTTGTGGATTACTTAATTAGGCTATGGGCTCTTCCTGGCCTTTCTTGTTCCCAGTCTTTTAATCATTTCACATTTTTATCTCTCCCTGAGTAAAGTGGCAAGAAAACTAAAATGAAAATTAAATAGAGTGATTTGACAATGTGTCTGTTCTTATTTAGAGTTTATAAGGAGGGTAGAAACCATTGACCAAAATAAGATTTTTGGATCAAGATTATTTACTTTAAGCCATTTAGACTTGTTGGCCAGCGACACCACATTTGACAAAGGACTGGGTTCTTAACTTCTTTCATTCATGAATATATATGCCTTGGGAGGACACTGGTGACAGAGTTATGCCAATGATTTGCCATATTACCCTTTAAGCTAGCCCATAATTCTACCAGACCTCATACCAAGTTTCAGTTCATGACTCATACTGAATAAATATCAGTTGTAAATGGTTTTGAATTGGTCTTCCTACTAAAGTGAAACATCTCCCTTTAAACCAAGCCACATGAATGAAATATCATAATCAGAATTTTTTTTGCATAGCAAATGAATGGCCTTCTCCACTAAGCCAGCAACTAATGGTACTCAGAAAACAAGTTAATCAAGGTGGGCAGAACTTTTTGAACTGTGAGGAAATGTTTCTAAGTTTAGATTTATTACCTGTCATTTAGGCAAAAATCTAATTTTTTTAAAATTTCTTAATCCTGTAGAAATCTGTATTTCATAGTAATGAGTATTTAGGGATCATTGCTCTATTAGCATCTGGGAGAGATCGTCTAGGGTTTGCCTTTCATTTTTTTCTAGAATTTTGTTGTTGTTTTAACTGCAACTGGTTACTTTTCTCAACTATGGTCCTGACATGTTTATACTATGATACTTTTGAGACTTAGCTAAAGAATTAAAAGCCATAAAATGACATTTGCTTCTCATCCTTCAGTCAAATGTGTTCCATTTAAGCAGTATGGTTAAATACTAATTTTGGGATAAGGGAGGGATATGTTTTTTTTACTTTCTTTTTGGATTTCATTTCTGTGACATGAGCCTATTTGTGTTTGGAAGGAAAGATGCCTTCCTTTACATTCTTTACACTGGTAATTTTTTCATACTGAACTAAGAAATTATCATCCTTTCAAAACACGTTAATATGGCAATGTTAGAGTAACGGAGATGGCATTTCATTTCCTCTCCTTAGTCACATTATGTTGGAATGTTATTGTCATTTCCAGAAGCCACACTTTGAAATTACAAACAAATTGAGGCATTACCAGCCCACTGAAGGAATTTTAAATGCAAGACATTTAAAGAATATTTGAAGGATTTGGGGAGATTTTGGTTAGGAAAAAAAGGGGAATACAATTAGTGCATTAGAGCAAGATGCTCTGTGGTTCAGAGGGGTGGAATGAGGCTATAGGGACACAGATTTGGGTTCCATGTCAGGGAGACAGTTCTCAAAAATTGGTTCACTATGGGACAGGTTGCTTCAGGTAATAGCCTCTGTCAAGCAGAGGCTACATAAGAGGCTGCCAAAGATGTGGAGAGGATCCAGTTGGTTGGAGCTTGGAGCAGGCAACTTATTAACCTAAATTCCATGTTGTGTGTAGTATTTTGCCCTTTATAACATGTTTGATTAAATATTTGTTAATCCATAGCTAATGATTTTTTAAATGGGGCCTCATTCTTCTGCACAAGTGCATCCCACCTTCATCTTTCAGGAAAGAGGTTGGTTGCAGGTTGTTAGGCCAAGAGACTGGCCCTCCATTATGCCCCATGGTGGACTTGCCTTATCAGTCCATTCACTGATGTCCTGTTGAAATCACAAATTGGTTCTTGAGTTAAAAATATTGTTTTAGTAGAAGTTACATGAAATTATCACTTGCCAAACATAGGCCTTTAATAAATAATGGGCGTCTCCTTCATGATTTTAGGATAGGCCTTTTTAGCAGAGCAGAATCTTCTGTTAAAAGTTCTCACAAACAGACCAACATGAAGTTTTGCAGTTCCCAAGAGAGACGGGCTGGTGGGTCACTGACGTAAAGCAGTCCACAAGATCTATTTTAGAAAAGTCTCAATGACATTTCCTTAGTTTGTTTGATTTACATGAGAATACATGAGTTTATCTTGATAGGCTGAGAAAAAAAATTTTTTTTTTAAAGAATACTTGAGTTTAAAAGAACTGCTTTACATAGAAAGCAATAAAAACAAGTATTTTTGACTTGAAAATCAGAGGTAACTATAAGCAATTTTTGCTAATAAAGCCTATGGCCCAAATTATTCCACCTGCTAAATAACTTTCACACCTGCTAGGCCGATAGACGGCTTTTCATTGGTCTTTTTTTTTTTTTTTTTTTTAATCATGGTCTTAAATCAGTATGGTGAGAAATCTGTTTGTGTTTAGGTGAGACTTCTTTGACTCCTTTGGACAAGAGGTCAGAGCACAAAAGCTAGTCACCACTTTGACTTCTTGAGGTATGAGCCAAAATTTTACTTTCCCATTGATTTAAAGCAGAATTTTTGAAGATGCTGTGTTCTAGTTCCTGATGGAATCTTTGGTGGGTGGTGACTTTGACAGTTCAGAGTGATGTGGGGAGTTATACAGAAGGGAAAACACTAGTTTAGGTGTGAGGAGACCTAGCATGCCACAAATTAGCTGCGACTTTAGGCAAAGCACAATATTTTGAGCATCAATTTTTTTCATCTATGAGATAGACCTGTCAGGATTGTTGTGAAAATTAGATGAGACAAATTGAAAGTACAATGCTTGGTAAATAGTAAGCACTCAAATATTAGTTCTTTTTCTCCTTAATTAAGAGCAGACATTGAATGGTCTGATGCCAAGTGAGATCCTTAAGAGACAAAACAAAGAAACTTTCCTGGCTTCAAAGAAAAGAACTCCATTTCTGAAAGGGTGCCTTAAAAGGAAGTCATTAATTTGATCCATCCTTTTGCCTTTGGGCATTACTGTCACCCTCCATTTCTTTACATACTTCAGGAAAGGTGGTCTCTCTCTCTCTCCCAAAAGGCAATTCCAGGGTTGTAAACTCATTATCAGGAAACTTAATCTTAGAACTGAAATACCTCACAGTGCAATTTAAACCTCTTTCTTCTTGATCCCATTCTTCATGGGAAGAAAACTGGGTTGATCCCTATCTTCTTTTTAAGGAGCCACATTTGCCATTTATCATTGCTCTTTTGCCTATTAAAAAAAAAATCAAAAAAAGCTCATTAAAATGATAATTATTTACTTAGTGTATGTCAGGATAGGTATTTATTACTCTTAGCTTCTTATTAGTATCAGATGTAGATCATAGTCTTACTGTTAACTCTTCAGTTATATATATAATTTCTTTAGTTATATAATTGATAACAAAGTGTGCTTCTGAAGGATTATTCTGGTTGTATGGCTCTTGTTTCCTCTCCTTCATTAAAAATGGAGTCATGAATCTCAGTTTTGTGATCTGCTTTTAATTTCATATATGACATTTTTTGATGTCCATAATTACTAACATCCAAAAGGGTTTCTTCCCCTTTCTACATGTGCACTAAGTTCTAAAACAAAAATTGGAATACAAAATGCCTACTAAAGCAAAAATTTATGTACAGAAAAGCAAAAATAATCTAGTTTGTTAAGATAATTTGTCACTAACTGGTTGAATAACACACAGTTTTTGTTTAAAGTTACACAGTTAAGCCTGGATTAATTAACAATAGTAAAACTTGACAAGTCTTTTGAAAAACAGCTGCTAAACATATTGCTGTCTGGAATGTAATCATTAGCAACGAATACTCTCTTATCCTATACAATTGCAGAATGCTAGTGGAACTTTCTTGTAGGCTATTTGACAATGAATGTTAATTGAATTATTTTTTAAAAATGTAAAATCCTTTGGTTCAATTCATTCACTTCAGAGGACAGTAAAACTCTGAAAAAAAAAAAAAAAGTAAAATCCTCTTATCCCTTTAAAGCCTGTTTACACTTTCATGTCCCTGTTGTAGAAAATTTCAAATGCTGGCTTCTAATTTCTACTCACTGAAGTGTCTTCCAGACATACCAGATGGTTGGAGCTCCTTTGATAGCATATAAGGGAGCTATATAAATGTATGTGAACTAACTCATGAGCAAAATTTCTGTTTTCAGAAAAAAAGAAAAAAGAAACTGCTCATAATTTTGATAATACAAGAGTAAAAAGAGATTTCTGATAATATGAAGGGAAAAAGTGTGCCCCATATATCTTGTACACACTTTTAATGCATGAATTTTAGTATAGAAATGAAATAAAATGCAAAATATATAATTCTGAAGATCTTAGCAGCTAGTAAAAATATTTAGAAAAGCTGCTTTATGAAGACTTAGAGAATCCTTGATCTCCCCACCTTTCCTATCACTCCATTAAAACATGGGTCTTTAATATTAATAAACACATAGTTTTAACTAATAAACAGGTTAATTACTGAGTTTTATGAACTCAATTCTTCATATTTGCCTATTGGTTTTAAGCATAGGATATCAGTATTATTTGTATACAGCAGTATATAAAATTTAACCAACTTCAATATAAGAATAGTACTTGATTTTAAATGTTAATATGCAAATATTAACAGTATACTACATCATATTTTATGTGTTCATATACTGATTTTTTTACTTAACAAAAAGCCTGTTAGAAATATAACCCACTGATGACTTGAGTCCAGTTAGCTGAAAACATTCTATAGGAAGATGATTGTATGAAAAATTTAATCAACGTTAAAAAAGGGAAGTGGGGAGGGAACAGAAACTTGAACAAAATATTCTTAAATGAAGTTGCATCTCTTTTTAAAATTAAGATACAATTGGTGCGCCATATTGGTCACCCTATTAAAGTGTAAACTTCAATGTTTGTAATCATATTCACTAAGTTGTGCAACATCACCACTGCCTAACTTAGGAACATTTTCATCACCTCTGAAAGAAACTGCATACCATTTGCAATCACTCCTTCTCGTCCTTCCCCCAGCATCTTGCAACCACTAATCTACTTTCTGTCTCTATAAATTTGCCTATCCTGGATATTTCATATAGTCAAACAATATTGTGGCCTTTTGTGTCTGGCTTCTCTAAATCAGCATAATGTTTTCAAGACTGATCCATGTTGTAGCATAAATCAGTACACTGTTTTCATGGCTAAATAATATTTCGTTGTATGTATATGCCACATTTTATTTGTCCATTTATCATTTGCTGGACATTCGGGTTGTTTCCACTTTTTTATTATAATAATGCTGCTATGAACATTTATGTAAAAGATTTTTTGTATGGGTTATGTTTTCACATCTCTCTTAAAAACAATTAGTCTAACAAATCAAATCATTTATGTTTACTTAAGTAGAATCTCTTGCAATTCTATTTGGAGAGTGCAACTTATGATCTTGGTTTAATTGATCAATTAGGAGACCCCTGAATAAAGACTAACTCCCCAATATATCCATAAGAATTTTTCTACGAGCCTGTCATTTAGACATGATAATCAATTTCATGAAGACTGTTTTAGTCTTGCAGAAATTGAGTTGTCATCACACGGAGGATTTCTTGTCCTCTGCATTGTTTTAAAGGACAACTACAAATCATGCTGGAGAAGAGTACTCATTAAATCTTTTAGGATTCAATGAAGTAGCATTTTAAATATGTAAGTTATTTTATATATTGTCTGTCTTTTAAAGTTTGGACTTGGCTTCTTGAAAAAAAGTTTGTCAGATCACCAAACCACATGACTGTCCATTCATTGTAGCTTATGTTTTTATTATTAAGGAATAATTCATACTGAAAGTAAAAGAAAAAGAATGTATTTTGTGTGCAAAGGATGAATGTATTAAAAACTTTTTATTTGTAACAGTTTTTTAAAAAAAGCTAAATGGAAATTGCTTTCCCATGTACTTGTATATAAATAAACATTTCCTCTTGCCCACATTCGGAGAATCACATGCCATCAGAGTATGTCAAAAGCAAACTTTAAGTGTACTAATGGCTTTCAGCATGGTGCAAAGTGTGCCCTGGATCTAGGGGATCTGGGGGATCTGGAGACCTGAGTTTAAATGTTGATTTTCTAATTGGCTTACTTTGGACAAGTCATTTAACATTTTGCACTTTGGTTTTTTCTTTATACAACAAGGGGCTAGGTGAGATAATCTATAAGGCCTCCTCCGATGATAAACACTAAAAGAGACTACTCTGCTATATTCAGGATGTGAAAATTATATGCTAATTTTATCTATTTGTGAGAAAGATCCTTTATCCTATCATATATATTGGAAGGAGTATTACACTGAAAACTAGGAATCACAAATTCTAGTGCCAGTTCTGGCATTGAGAAGCCATAAGTTCTAGTCCCAGTCAGAATAATGTTGGATTAATCACTTCAAACTTTATTTTTCCCAACTACAAAATATGGACACTAGATTAGATAGCTTCAAGGTCCCTTCCAGCTAAAACACATTATATGATATCACTTGAGATTTTTTACATAATTATTAATGAGACTTCTCATCACTAGTAGGACATTCATTCCTTCACCCATTCATTTATTCACCATTTACTGAACATACACCATAGGGTGGGCACAGGAATCTTTTAGATGCCCCCGTCTCCACTGCAGAAGTTGTAGATTTGCACCTTTTCTTGAAATTCATTTACACCCCAATTCTTGCCTCTCACCCTCTGTCTTGAGCATGCATTTCAGAGATGAATGTCCTGGATTAAGAGTATAGTAGATCATGGAACATGATGACAAAGGGGTCAAACCTTTGACCTTGGGCTCTCTGCATAGTGTTCTTTAGTTAATTGAACATGGGCAATCTGTAACACTTTCTGCCATTATTAGTTAATACTTATAAAGTATTGGGCTTTGAAAATCATTTGCTATAATTTTATGTTATTGTCCTATGGCAGCTTATCTGCAGTTGGTATGAGGCTCTTAATTTTGCTGTTTTAGCACCTTCACTAAAAGGATGTGTTTGCAGAAATTTCTGTTCTAAATATGCTTGTGGTTTCTTTTTTTATTTAGTTTGAACCACATGGAATTTGTGTTGTTATAAGTCAAAAACCGCCAGAGAGTGGCAATTTTATATCATTCTCATATGATCTTGTAAGTCATAGCAGCAAAGACTGGCAGGCAAATGCCACTAGCTGTAGAAAAATCTTAAAACTCGTTTTTTTCATTCTGTTTTGTTTTTGCCACTAAGGGAATCTGGACAAGTTAGTTCACCTTGTACATTGGTTTTTCCACTAGTTAAATGGAACAAATTGCAAACTTGCATAGAATTTTAAAATGCTCATTCATATAAAACTCATTATAGATCACTGAAGAAAAGCATAAATACAGTCTATTCCTAAAATATCCAAATGTTTAGATCATTGTGCTTCTCATATTAACGGTGTAATACTACAGATACACAATTCTTTGGCAAATTGGAAATCAGTATTTTGAAAAACATTGAGGATCACTATTATTATTATTATTTTAGGATGAAGTCTTGCACTGTTGCCTGGGCTGGAGTGCAGTGGTGCGATCTCGCCTCACTGCAACCTCTGCCTCCTGGGTTCAAGCAATTCTCCTGCCTCAGCCTCCTGAGTAGCTGGGACTACAGGTGTGTGCTACCTAACATGCCCAGCTAATTTTTTGTATTTTTAGTAGAGACGGGGTTTCACTATGTTGGCCAGACTGGTCTCGAACTCCTGATTTTGAGGATCACTATTATTAATTGACTCAATTTTTCCATGCCTGCTAACTGGCAGATTACAACTGATATATACTACCTATATGCCTCAAGACATATCTGCAACTGAGAGGTGAAACTGGAGCTATAGTTAAACCACAAGGACATGGGTGTACTTTCGGCCAGGTGCTCACATCTGAATATTTCAAGAACTGTAGTACATTTCAGGAACTGAAATATCTTATTTCCATTGCTGTAAATAAACCACACGTTAATAATATAAGACTTCTTATCTGTATTTTAATGCTTGGAATTTACTCAGGCCTTAAAATGGTTGCATTTTCACATTTAGATCAAAATAAGCTTGGAGAAACAGTCTGACTTTGATCTTAGAGATGAACCCACAGGAATTAACAACTGTATGAGGCCTAATATTCTACAAAGTTTACTGATGCTCATATTTATACTTAAATACTTAATCTTTATTGTAATTCTGTGAAGTACTTTCAGCTCCTGAAGTACAATGTATACAGATTTTGAGGCAAGGCAAAGATTAAGACACAGCTTTGAACATGGAAATATTCTGGGCAAAGGGAATGAAGAGTACAAAGATTTTAGGCCAAAGTACATATAATCCTTTCACAAGTTATTTAACCTGTTTTCATCTCTGTTTCCTCGTTTGTTAAATTAGGATCTCAATGCTTGTCCTCATTTGTTTGTCAGTTACCTGTTACTTGCCAGGTGGTGTTTTAGTCACTGGAACTATAGCAGTGAACAAAATAGTAAAAAGTACTTTTGTGGAATTTACATCATAGCATGGGAAGGGTAGAAAATAAAGAAATGTATAGTACATCAAGTGGTGATAATTACTATGAAGAAAATAAAGGCAGGCATGGTGGCCCACACCTGTAATCCCAGCACTTTGGGAGGCTGAGATGGGCAGATTGCTTGAGCCCAGGAGTTCGAGACCAGCCTGGTCAACGTGGTAAAATTCCTTCTCTACAAAATACAAAAAATTAGTTGGCAAGCTAGTGCACACCTGTAGTCCCAGCTACTCAGGAGGCTGAGGTGAAATGATCTCTTGAGCAGAAGGTCAAGGCTGCAGTGAGCTGTGATTGTGCCATGGCACCCCAGCTTGAATGAGGGTGAGAAAGAAAAAATAAGCAAGGGAAAGGTCATGATGGTGGAGTGTTGCTAATTTACGGAGGTTGTCAAGGAAAGGCTTCACTGATAATGTGTCATTTGAAAATAGGCCTAAGCCAGGTGTTGTTGCACATGCCTGTAATCCCAGCTACTTGGGAGGCTGAGGTAGGAGAATTGGTTGAATCCTGGAGGCAGAGGTTGCAGTGAGCTGAGATCATACCATCTCATCCAGCCTGTGTGACAGAGTGATACCCCATCTCCAAAAAAAAAAAAGAAAAAGAAAAAGAAAAAGAAAATACACCCAAAAGAAGTCGGGGAGGGAACAGTATACAAAATCTTAGTGAAATGTGTTCTAGGCAGAGGGAACAGAATGTGTAAAGGCATTAAGGCAAAAGAATTCCTGGTGCTCCAGGAGCATCAGGGATTCTGGTACAGGTGAAACAAAATCAATAAGTGAGGGGCAAGGATAGATGAGGTTTGAGGGGGATACTGGTATAGATCACAGCACCTTGGAGGCCATTGCAAGGACTTTGGTTTTCACTTAGCATAAAATGGCAGCCCTTGGACGGTTTTGAGTAGAGGAGCAATCTCAATTTATATTTTAGTATGGTCACTCTGCTGTCCTGTAAGGATAGATTATATAGGGGCAAAGATGGAAGAAATGAAACCATTTAGGGAGACTACTGCTGCAATGCAGGTGAGAAAACGTGACTTGTACCATAGGAGTACATGTGGAGATTGTGGGAAATGCTCATGATTCTGGCTATATCTTATTTAACTTTGTATTATATCATAGAAAATGTCAACATAGATAAAAGCAGAATGGTGTAATGATACTTTATGTACACATAATATCAACTCATGGTCAATAATTGCAACAATTATCAACTCATGGTCATTTTTATTTTATCTATATTTGCACCATTTTCTCCATTGCATATTATTTTGAAGCAAGGCCCATACATCATACAATTTGTTGCTTAATTTTTAAATTTCAACTTTAATCATTTTTTAAAGTGAGGGGTCTTGCTTTGTTGCCCAGGCTGGTCTTGAACTCCAGACCTCAAGCAATCCTCCCACGGTGGCCTCCCAAATTGCTGGGATTACAAATGTGAGCTTCCGCACATGGCCCATCATACAACTTCATCCAGAAATATTTCGGTATGTATCATTAAAAGACAAGAGTTTTTAAAACAACCATAATATATTATATCTGAAAAGTTTTAAATACATCTTTGATATCCTCAAACATGGATTCTGTATTTTATTTATTTATTTAATTTTCTTTTCAGACAGAGTCTCGCTCTGTCGCCAGGCTTGAATGCAGTGGCATGATCTTGGCTCACTGCAACCTCCGCTTCCTAGGTTCAAGTGATTCTCCTGCCTCAGCCTCCCAAGTAGCTGGGACTACAGGCATGTGCCACTATGCCCAGCTAATTTTTATATTTTTAGTAGAGACGGGTTTTCATCATGTTGACCAGGATGATTTCCATCTCTTCACCTCGTGATTTGCCTGCCTTGGCCTCCCAAAGCGCTGAGATTACAGGAGTGAGCCACTGCACCTGGTGGATTCTGTATTTTTTAAAATGATAGAACCTATAGATCTGTTTATTTGTTTTTTAGAGACAGGTTGTCTCTCTGTTGCCCAGGGTGGGGTGCAGTGGCACAATCACAGCTCACTACTGCCCTGAACTCTTAGGCTCAAGCAGTCTTGCTACCTCAGTTTCCCAAAGTGTGGGATTACAGACTCCAGCCATTATGCTAGGCCTGGTTGTTGTTTTATTTCCCCTAAGATAATGCTAATAATGTGGACACTGACAGCTGTTTTTCTAAACAGTGGGTCATTAAGAGCAGAATTATTTCCCTTTAGAAAACTGAGGAAAGAGATGGCATGATGAGAACAACCCAGGATTGAAGCTCTCGGTGAACACGTGGAGGGTGAGTCAGGGCTGCATTTCCAGATTGATCTTTGTTGCCTACAGAACAAGGAAATTCCCAGGTATAAAAGAGACGTGGGACGCAAGGCAGAGGTTTTGGCTAGTGCAGCTGGCAGCCAGCGCTGTAGCGCAGCGGCGCTCCACAGTGCTCTGCACAAAGCACACTGGTCTGGGT